AGAATTTGGTCGTGCCAAGGGAATTTGACTTTACACGGGATTTAAAAAGTCGAAGTATTGATAATTCTGGGCTTTTACTACTTTAATGGCCCGTGGTTCTGACTCCATTTTAGATCGTATGGATATTTGTTATCTCCTTTTCTCGTATATCATCATCGACTTAAATCGCGTTATCCAATAACGGAATTAAATAAGTCGAATAACGAGAATTGACTTGAAAATACATATATTTCGTATATGAAGCGAATGAAGCATAGCAAAGCGAAAATGACACGTACAGAAGATGGCTGGGAAGCCAATTCCATTTCAAGCCGGGCATTACTCAATATTTATAGGCAGAAAAAACAAACTACAGACATGTGATGAGTCATGGGACATGAAGTGTACACACATACAGGCTCATATGAAAACAGTCAAGGCTAATAAACGAATAATTAACAAGGTCAAAACATGACTCAAGTAGACTGAATAGAATGGAATGTCCAGAAACTAGAATAAGATATATTATGGGCTAAAAATAATGACTAACACTACACTACGTAGAGTTTTATTTTCTATATTCATAAAATACTTACGTTTAGATGAAGCATTTCTGTTGATTAATTTAAGTATACTCTGAAGTGCATACACATCATTCTGCTCGTAGTAGCGGTATCTTAATTTTCTCAGCTTTCTTTTAAAAGTAATCTGGCCCCTATTAGCATTATAAGCCACACGACCAATAACTGTAGCAGTGCATTCAAGGCAATATATCAGGTTGTGGTATAGATTGGAAAGTGCAATGTCAACATTATTTGTGGTAAAATAAGTTTCCCATGGTAAACATTGAATGAGAGTTCCAGTCCGTTCCCATGTTTGTTGATCAAAATGTTTGCTTTGTTACATCAATGAAGCTTTAGAGTTCAATTGTATGGCATTTAAAGAGTGAATGATACTCAATACAACTCTATGGTCACTCATAAAAAACTCATGACTGGTATGCACTGAGATAGAGTCTATGTTGATTGTGAACATTATATCAAGTGTATTATTCCCCTTGGTCGGTTTTCGGACCTGTTGAACCCATCCACAAATTTCTAATGTTTCAACTAGCTTGTTATATCGACCTGGTACCGGAGTCAAGCCCCATGTAATTTTTGGCAGATTAAAATCACCTCCGATGATTTTAAATTTTACGGTTGGTGCGAAGCAATGGAAAATATGTTTGTTAGTAATCTGTGAAACTTAGTATCCGCATGAGGTGGTCTATATATGCATCCCACCAGTAAATAATTTTGGGATCCACAGTTTACAGTAACCCAAATGCAGTCGTCTATAGCATCAAGGGATTTATCCTCAAATTTGCATGCTTGAATGTCTGAACGGACATAGATAATTGTACCGGTTCCTATTCCATAACATTTATCGGTTCTAAAGAAAACGTAGTTATCTACATTCAAGGAATGATCGGATGTTGAGAGCCTTTGTTTGTCTGAACAGATAATCCCACACTCCACTGTGACTGAGCGAAGATCGAAATAAAGACCTATTCACTACTTCTCTGGTTTCTTCTATCAATAGCACGAGGGTTATTTTAAGGCACGAAAAGTGCATACCAGGATGACTTCTTTTTAATCTTGTGCATACACATGGTACGTGTGTCATATTGCTGGCTCTAAGCAGAGTAGATTTGATATTTTTAAGGTCATGTGTATCCGATATATTAAACACAATTGCATTGCTAGATCGTCTTATTCTTTCAAATACCTCTGATGAAACACGATCTAGGAAAATATTTATGTCATTCATTTGATCTGGAGTCTCCATGAGGTTGGGGTTGATGAGATATTTAAGCGGATTGAGAGTGTTCATGTCTACTTGCGACCTTTCTATAGCATCCATATGGTTGCAGTTGGGATTATCATCACTGTTTACCAGCAGAGTTTTCAACATGTCTGGAATGGAGACAACTGGTAAAAGCTTATCTACTTCCGAATGAACGGAGTAGCTCGTCTAGTTGAAACTGCCGGAAATCATGTCAGTAGTGGTGTTAAATTGTGCCGTTTTTCTACGTTTGGCTGGACGCCTAGAAGCAGGGGTTTTCATTTTCTTTTGTGGCATGATAAGAAAGTGACGTATAACAAGTGGATTGAACGGAATGTTGGAAATAGAAAGGAATGAAAAAATCAATTACAAGGGCTAAAGTCAGTCTAAAAATCAAAATCTATGTTTTAACCAAGAGTGAATGTATCGTAAGGATTAGTGGTGTCAAAAAACAAAAGATGACAATGGCAGGAAGATAGTAGTGGAGATGAAGTATTTATGTCAGTATCTGTGTGGAGGCAAAATAGTATATAAAGGAGCAAGTTGTATAAATTTTAACATATATATGAAACGAAAGATAGCCTTATTATTGTAAAGTAATTTAGAAATGTCGATAATTAGTATCAAACAATCAAAGTGAATACGGTATGTGATACATATATAAACTGAAGGTTCGTATAAGTAAAAATTGGGGGACGCAGAGATAAGTAGTTTAAAAGATTATTACCGTCCAAGATTATTATACTGCTTCATGAACAAATATATGAAGTAGCTTTTTGGAAAAAAATACTGTCAAAAAAAACTATGACAGACTCACTGAATTGGACAGGTAATTTCGGAAATTAAATGATTTATAGTACCCAAATACGATTTAAATGATAGTTCATAAAATAGTAAATACAGTCCTTTAACATACACGGTTATATATATTTCTTGATATTAGGTAGAGGTTTGAATAGATCCTGTAGATACATAAAGTACGTGGGTTAAAGCATCCAAATACGATATAACCATATATTCCTTAAGGAATAGAATACAGATATGAAGTGCAGATCTTCGTCAAATATGATTATATATGGTTTCAAAATGACAGAGCATAGTTTGACCATATAGCCAAAATGAATATATGTAATTATATGATTATGAATTAATGTATAAATATGATCATAAATACCATAAGTCAAACTCAGATCTTATCATATGGCATGAAATTCACAGTTTATATGTTAATAGTTAAGAATTGAGTTATCTTCCATAATTCTAAGAAAAAAATCCATCCAGATCTGCGAGAATCCTAGAAAACTCTGCTGTTGCTTGTAGAATACACTTTCTACGCCTTACCAAGACTTCTTGATCGAGTTAGCTGAGTCGAAGACAACGGACCAGAATAGTCTATTGAGTCTCTGAATCCTGAGCCTTCGTTCCGTTCCGAATAAGTCGAATCAGTAGTATCCTCAAGGTTAACGAACCCAACAGTTTCGTGGTGTTAACAGGTTTGAGCAACTTATTATGGAAGCATGGATGGACAGAAACATACCATACTGCATGTTCGTAACACGATATCAGTTCTTCCATATACGGTGACATATGAACTTAAATCACTTGGCAACATAATTTTTTGTGTCAAATTTTGCGTGAATGCACTTGATAATTTGTAGTCATGTGGTAATAACGTCACTGTTGGAAAGATACTCCTCGACTAGAATGACACGTCAATAAAAAAAATAATTCGACTCCACGCTACAACTGGTGAACCCGACGTGATCACTGAGCCTTCGTAACCCTAAGTTATGTGTAGATTTTCAAAAGCGGTTTTTCTTCAGTTCGCTTTTGGTATGACCGTTGTTCTTGTCTGAAATGTACCTATTCTGTCATTCGAATGGAGAATATTTAGGTGAACCTTAGTCCAGTAGTTTATTCAGAGCAAGATACGCCTGCTCATGTTTCTCCTCAAAATATCTCGTATCTTCCTTAGGCGACTAATATAACTGTCAGTCAGTTTCGTCTTACAACTCGACCTTCACATCCGTTTAACTCCCAACCTCGACTATCCTCAGTCGCTTCAAAAATTTAAAGTTTCTCATTTACGATGACTTTTTATTTCTACCTTTGCAAACCGCATGTGATACGTTCAAAAAGATTTATACTGATTATGGAACGCATACTGAGTCATGGAAGTTCGATGAATATTGTCAAGGTCATTTTCACGACACTTTCAGACAATACTTTTCTACCATTACGCTATATATCTTGAGAATATCTTGTTGCACTAAACACACAATATTGAATGAAGTAAATACCATCTATCTATCAAATTAGTTATCTATCTACACTGTACACTTTAGAGATTCATTTTCTGTCCTATTTTGTGTAATTTGTGGACATTATTGGTACTCACCATATCTTATAATGACTTTATCCTTTTAGGGTTCCCTGTGATCTTGGTAGTTTTCTTTATTGTGGCCTTCATTCTGATGTTATTTAGGTCGGACGATGTTACCGACAGGCTCACCACTTTGGTTGCACGAAATCCGATTCCACTTAAATCTCATGATTATCGTTATTGAAATATATATTGCCAATTCCCGTACATAATCATCGACCTAAATGTTGTTAGTGAATAACGGAATTATATAACCCAAATACTAGAATAGCTTTTTGAATATATACATTTTCTACATTCATTGATCTGGACAGACAGTCAGAGGGACGGAGTGAAGGTGGCAAAGAAAAGGAATAGAAGCATAACGACGCGCGGTGGAAAAATTATATTACCCAACTTGATTTTTTTATCAAGCGTTAGTCAATATTTGTAGTCGCACAAAAATAAGCTACAGACATGTGATGAGTAGGATGAGACGTACACACTAATATACGCACTAATATAAATACATTCAGGGTCGATAGGTGAATAAATAGTAAGTTCAACACGTGACTCAAGAAGAATGGGTAAATTGACCTGTTCAGAAGCTAGAATAAGTTATGTGGACATAACGTAGTAACTGACTATACAGTTCAAACATAAGTTTAGAATAGCCCTTAATCTGACACAGGATCAAGCGCCAGTACATAGTGTTAACGAATCCCATTAGTGAGACCCAGTGGCTAATTGTGTTTTATCAAGATAGGTATCTAATTGTGGTTTGGTTTTTGTGCACTGAATGACAACCTTGAGGCTCTCTGGAGTACGATCACCATTTAAATTTCGCGATGTTAAGCGCTTTAAAGAATTCCAGGCCGAAGGATCAAGAGGTTTATGCCAATGTGATTGACGGGCTTGGCAAATTGTACTTTAAAAAACTTCTTCCACTTGAAACTTTGTACAAATTCCATGATTTCCACTCGCCTCCACTTGAAAAAAGCGACTTCGAGTCGAAGCCAATGGTTTTGCTTATTGGTCAGTATTCCACTGGAAAAACAACTTTTATACGTTACCTAATTGGTGAGGATTTCCCTGGCATCCGAATAGGTCCCGAACCAACTACAGATAGTTTCATAGCTGTCATGAACGATGCAAGAAGCGGGATTATTCCTGGGAATGCTCTCGTAATGGATTATTCAAAGCAATTTCGACCTCTTTCTAAATTTGGAAATGGTTTTTTAAATCGTTTTCAGTGTGCACACATGCCAAATGGTGTTTTGGATGGAATAACGTTTATTGATACACCCGGTATTTTGAGTGGCGAGAAGCAACGTGTCGATCGTGGTTACGACTTCTCAGGTGTTATTGAGTGGTTCGCAGAGCGCGCAGATAGAATCATCTTGCTTTTTGACGCTCATAAACTGGATATATCGGACGAATTCCGGCGGGTTATCGAAGTTTTAAAGGTACAATTTTCTGATATTTTGGTAAAGCTAGCTTTTTTTGTCGTTGCACTTATACTCATGTATTACTCTTTCCGAAAACTCCTCAGAATATTGCAGAACAAAAGTGGTCAGCTGAATACTTAGTTCCGAGATAAGTGCTTGTTGTTCATGCTAGGATTTTTGTCCCCATTTTTATTCTGAACGACTGCTTTCAATGTTAAGTGGTCACTTTTTTAAAAAGTTACGAAATTCGCGAATATGTCAGAAGAGTGTACTTTGTTACATCGGATCTTACTCTACCAATAGGAACTCTTCATGAGTTACTTGTATGTATGTCAAAGTTAGGCTGTTGATATTAGAATAAAACTACTGCTTTTAATCCCTCAGTGAACAGTAGCGAAGTGTGAGCCTTATGTGAAAATAGTTGTTACGGTGAAATCTGATTAGATTCGTAACATTTTGGAGTAAAAAGACAGGGACCCCTAGTATTGTTGTTTTTGACTTAATGTTAGATTACGAGCACTCTACTCATATGACTTATGTATATATGAAATTTGATCATACGTAATCTTGATGCTCAAATCCAACTTTGAATTTCAAAAACCTTTAACTAGACATTATGGCGTCCCAGCTCTATAGTATAGTTTTCGTCTTGCTTACATCTTGTTGCTTTTGGTCACTTATTTTTTGAATGCTAATCATATTAACTTGTGTTTTGAGAAAAAACTAAGTTTTTACATTTGTTTCTGTTTAGTTGGTAATGAAAAGCTTCATCGGGGCTACAAATTATCCAAAGCTAGTAGTTTGCAAGACAAATAAATTTTAGTCCACTTAACGTAAATGTATTCATTCCTCTATCTTTTTAAAAAAAATTAATAGTTTCAGCTTTTAAAAATTCAAACTGTTTTTGGAAATGCATGACTCTAAACTTTCGATGTGTTGTTTATTTATCAATGAACTTTTATCTGTTGATCAGACTAGCTACGATAACATAACGTTTATTTTTTAGCTAAAAACACAATTGTGTTCTGAGGCATTACTGTGCCTATCGCAAATAATTTAAACCACTACGCAGGATAATTATAATCTATAGCTAAGTGATGTTTGTTCTTAAAGTTTGAACCTGGAACGGGTCACTAGTTCATTTGTCTCCAAGTTTTACTCCTCTCTATTTTCATCTCTTCTAATTATTGATTACTTTTGGTTTTTTTCAACATTCTAGTATATAGTCCCCCTTCACAGATTTCATATTTACTATTATTCATATGAGATATTTTTGAAACATCAAGTCATGTATTTAAAAGACCTTAATATATACTATGTCCTTATGCAAGCGACTTTTAACGACGACCAGCATACAGAACATGGCATTACGACAAAGTTGATTCATCATTTGATCACTGGTTATATAACCATATTTTTTACAAACCGGAAACCCGGTTAAAATTGATGTGATCTTGTTTGGCCATCAGCTTTTATTATAGTCTGTGAATGTGGGAATTCCGTGTTGATTTGACAGGTCTGGTATTAAACAACCAAAAGCGGTTGATATGAGATATATAATTCAAGTTATCGATAGTCAGTTGAATTTTTGCTCTTTTGCAAATGTTTATGAACTCAGACTTAAATTTCTCCGCTTCATTTTTAAGTACCTACGAATTTTTTCACTGCTATAGTTGTATGCTTTGTCGGAGAGTTCTAATGGCACCGAATATAAATATATTTTGGTTTAGATAACTTTACGGAATCTTTATCAACTAGTATTTCATAAAATTCCCTACATTCTATGATAATAGCTTTAAATATACGTTATTTTATTGAAAGAAAGGTGTTACATAGAACTGAACATAATGAAGTGCACCATGCAAGCTGAAATAGCGATACAGAGAACAGATGAGAAAAAATCATATAGAATAAGACAACCAGAATAAGAGCCGTTCGATAAATTAGCTTAGGATGCTAATAGTTTGGGAATCTTTCATGTCTTAAACCTTTTTTAAAGTTTAGACCATCTGTTCCCATTTCCAATAAAGTGTTTGTTTTTCAGGTATTCATTTTAATTCATTCATGACCCAATAAATACACATAAAAAAACTTGTCTCGTTTTCCTGTCACTCTTTTCTTCCCTTCATTTACATTCTCTAACTGTCTATTGAACGGTTTCAGAGTGAATTTATTCAGTGATTTTTGTACATCATTATTGACAGAAAATTTCATTTTGACTGAAGCACATTACGTCTAATTTGTTTATTTCTGATGATTCATTTTCTTTTACTTTTTTAAAGAAATGTTTTGACATTTAATATGTCGAGGGTTGGTTAGTTCAAAGTAAATCAACATAATAAATAAAGGGAATTGATTTTTATACCTATTTGGTTACTGTTATTACCGACATGTATTTTATACGAATTAATTATATATTTCCATATATGTTGGTTAGTTATTCGAAATTAGTGTGTTTTGAGCGTTCATTTCATACGATCCTATTATTTCTAATCTAAATTTATCTTAACTGTTTTTTGGTTGAATCGAAAGTCCTCTCATTCTGGATCGAGTTATTGCTGAGTCCTAATGGTTGACGGTGGATTTATGGTGGATTGGTGGTTCAGGCTCCTCAACTTTCAATCACCGATTCGGGTTAAAAAGCTGCTCCACTACATGCACATGTTTCTCATTCTGTTGATTTACTCTTACTGTCACAATTGATTGATCACTGAGTGGTGATCAATGTCATGCTTGTCTAGTCCTTATTAGTGCAGATCGAATGCTATCGATCATGTTGCAATGTGGCCACTAGTCTAGGTGACTCGACACTGCGGGCACTATGTATTGAGATTTTAGATGGTGGTTGGAGGTAGTCGACAGGAAACCCTGGACCCGGGTTTCGTGCTACATGGCACTCGTCAGCAAGGTGTATCTGTATTCTTGAGGGGACTGGTGCTCCCTGGCGGGTTCGATCTCGTGTCACCCAGCTTCACAGTCAGAGACGTTACCACTGAGCTATCCGAGCCGCGACCGCACGAAAACCGAGTCCAGGGTTTCCTGTTGACTACCTCCAACCACCATCTAAAATCTCAATACATAGTGCCCGCAGTGTCGAGTCACCTAGACTAGTGGCCACATTGCAACATGATCGATAGCATTCGATCTGCACTAATAAGGACTAGACAAGTATGACATTGATCACCACCCAGTGATCAATCAATTGTGATTACATCTCAGTCCTACAGGAGGTCAGTCGCGGCTCGGATAGCTCAGTGGTAACGTCTCTGACTGTGAAGCTGGGTGACACGAGATCGAACCCGCCAGGGAGCACCAGTCCCCTCAAGAATACAGATACACCTTGCTGACGAGTGCCATGTAGCACGAAACCCGGGTCCAGGGTTTCCTGTTGACTACCTCCAACCACCATCTAAAATTACTCTTACTGTGCTAATACGAAAGGTAGTAACTTCAATTTATGCCCATTCATGTCAGTAATACCTGGCTTTAGCAGTTCGCTTTATCCTACTTTATGAGTGTGAAACATGGGCATTAAGAATAGAGGATATTCGTGGGTTAATAGTATTCGATCATAGGCTTTTTCGGAGCACTGCCCGTGTATTTTAGAACCACCGAGTAGGCAGTATCTGGTTTAGAAATAAGGCATTAGGTAAGGATGGCAAATCGGTTGGTAGGGTATTAAATCTTCATCAACTTAGATGGTTGTGACATGCATTACGTATGCCCAACTACCGCCTACCTCGATTGTCGACGTTGTCTTTGGAGGCGGTCGAACCAAAACATGCTATCAATCTTTGAATTCTTTGACAATTAAACTGAACCATGTTAATAGGTGTAAAATACCTAGTTGTGGTCTATGTAATTACCTTAACCAATGGTTAGAAGCCCTGAATGACATGGCTCAAAATCTTTGCAGTTGCTCAGGTTCATCCATTCTTTGTCTTACCCCGAATTCTCAGCTTTTGGATCTATTATAACTTTTTTTTGTGTTTTTATTTCACTAACTTATATTTCAATGAATCGTATTTTTGACCCTTAGTCTTTCCATTCACTACTCATACTCAGTCAGTCAGCTACAACGTAGGACCAGGCACATATATGCATCGGTCCAAGTTGCCATACCCCGTTAACAAAAGATGGACAACGGATTCATGGAAGTAATTAATTCAGAGGTGGTAATATATAAAAGAAAGATTACAATAAGGATATAGTGCAGGGAGAAAGAATTAGTTCGGCTATACCAGGGCATTTGGGAGCTCTCACTATTACTTACTCGGTGATCCCAGCAGACGCCAGCAATATTTCTAAGGCATTTGTGGTCAAATACTAGTAGCTTACGAGTATCTTCTTATCTTAGTAGCCATGTTTCGCTGCCGTAAATTAAAACAGAACGGACTGCCGCGCAGTATACTCGTCCTTTTGTTGATAGACATATCTCGCCTTCGCCATAAGTGACGTTAATACCTCTACTATTAAGGGACTTAATGTGACATTTTTATCTCTCTGGTATTGTAACTTGGACTGATGCACATACGTACCGGGCTGCACATCGCATCTAACTACTTGAATGAGTAACTGACTTAAGTTATTTTATTGGTTTGAAGTGAAGTTAATGTCGTACAAATCGTACACTCATTTTTCTGCAGAGCTTTTTTTATCACTGTTTATGTGTTAACTTACTAGTGTTTATGTAGTTTCTTCAAGAGCCGTGTATGAATTTTTGTGTTAATTTAGAGTTTTTCCACACGGTGTGATTGAGAATTTTATTTTGTCAAAATATTATCTCAATATACAGAAGTTCATTAAGTAAATTTTAAACATTACTCAAGTGTTACTACGTTAGTTACTAAACAATCAGTCAGAAAACCAGCTTATTATTCCTGTCTTATACGGTTTGACTAGATATGTTGGGATACTAAGATTCATCTATAAGGATATAGTACAGGGAGAAAGAATTAGTTCGTAGAAAGAAAGATATGAAGCGATTTTAATCTCTTAGTTTAAGGGAAGACAGAGAGTGCATAAACCGACGCCATTGTGATCGATTCTGAGCCATATCACCCAGAGTCTCCAACCATATATATAGTACACATCTAAATCTGATCCTAGACTGGTCTATAAAACAGAAAATCCCTGTCATAGTGTCTAATAAGCGATTATTATGGGTGCATAAACTTTCTTTGTTAGCTGTAGTCGTTGAATGCATATTAAAAATAAATAAAATACCTGGTGTTTCTGTTTAAAATACTCTTCAGTAATATAGTGCAATACGTATACTTTAAAAAATCTTCATCTGTTTTTTTTGTATTTAGTCGAACGAAGACAAAATACGTATTGTTTTAAATAAGGCAGATACAATTGATTCTCAACAACTTATGAGAGTGTATGGTGCTTTAATGTGGAGTTTAGGAAAAATATTAAATACACCTGAAGTAGCACGTGTATATATTGGTAGTTTTTGGGACCGCCAGTTAGTATTTGATACCAACAGAAAGTTGTTTGAATTAGAGAAAATGGATTTGTTTCGTGATTTGGCTACTCTACCTGCAAATGGTACTCTGAGAAAATTAAATGATTTCATTAGACGTGCTCGTCTTGCCAAAGTAAGTATTTTGTTGTCATTTGTGCAAATTATCACTTTTGAACTTTCATCTTATTGTGGTTTCGTTGCAGATAAATCAAAGCTTGTGTTTTGAGGACCCCTGATTATCATGTACCGGATCACCAATCAGGATCCTAATTCTAATTTAGTCTGCTATTTATTCTATAGCATAGTATCTCTGATTTGGGCAATAACAAACCCGACCAGCGCTATTGAACTTAGGCAGGTAGCTAGGCTCCTGTTGACTCATTATTCGCAAGCTCTTCTTTAGCCTCCGCCTTGAGGTTAGAAATAACAGCCGACCTCCACTATATTTATTTTTCAGGCAGATGTGATTAATATACGGACATACCGAACTAAATCACACCATAAACTGAAAAAAATAATCATACATAAACAAACCAAAAGCAGATGTGAATAGGGTAGACTGTAAATAGTAGACTGGGAACAAATTAGGAATATAAGTAGTATAACAGTAGTTAATGGGTTTACCGAAAGCTTGTGATTAAAGAAATTCATGTGGCTAATAATCTAGTTACTCAGTAATCGTACAGCGAAATTATAATCAATAGTAATCCTGAAATCCAGTTCCAACTTTTACAATATTCGTTCCGTTACAACAAAATGCCAAGTTTTTTCCCAATCATCGTATCTGAACGTTTTCCCAATATATTTTCTTTATCGTATGGGTATGGAGTATTAAGATTTTTAATATTAGGAGGAATAATAATTGAATAAATGAAAGTATGTTTATCACTGAGATTGATTTTGAACCACAAAAGCTAAAGCGTTTCGTCATCAGCTTTATAGAATAATGACTTTACTGGTCATAATACCTTAGTATTCTATATTTTCCGACCCCTCATCTCGTATGGCAAGATCTTGACATTACACGCATGAACATGAGTTGTAAATTTGTGGCGTTGATTGAAGTCATGGAAATATTGATAAAGTTTTGGTTCGTTAATTAATTCACTTCAGTCTGTCTGTGATGTATCTCACCAAGTATAGATTAGTGTAATTTGCTTCCAGCCACACTGTAGTGCTACCCGGCTGCTGTAACCGAATTAGGATGTATGGGACTCAAAACTGCGACCTAGTGACCGACAGTTGAGCACTAATAAGCCACCGCTTCAGCTTGTTTAGTCAGATATCTGGAGTGGTAATAAGCTAAATAGTATGTTGACAACATGACCTTTTCGTATTTTAACTACAAATTACCATATTTATATTCTATATTTCTAACTTGTGGTTCTTTTTTAAGCTTCAAAAATGCGTAAGAAACTAAAGACACCACAAAAGTAACTTACACAAAGTCACAAAACCTTACCCATTAGGATATTACAAATATATAATTTTATAATCAAAACCAATGAGGGTTTTTCCTAATTAATTGGTCGATAACACTTCAAGTTGAGTAAATCCCTTGTTAGATTATGATTTTATCAATTGTTAACCTATACCTACGAGCCAAGGAAGGAAATGTTTTTTTTGTAATACACTAAGATTGACGTTCATTTTTGGTAAAGATTGTATGCTAATTAACCCATTATTAATTTGGACATATTTACAATCATAACACAATGTGATATTCGACTTAGATATATAACCGAAGGTTGAATAAATAAACATTTAGGCAAAATTTATTATTATTATAAAATTCCGATTTACAGTTGAATTATGTTTCTAATATCCACGCAGCTGTAAAGGAATTATACGTTTGGTGTTTCAAGGTTAAATAGTTCATTCAGTCAAGTTATACCGCATCCTCCAATCAATAAAGAGGTTATGTCTATGGAGAACGGTCTTATTTCTATCACTTTTATTGAATTCCCTGCAACTTTTTCAAAAATCTTTTTATACAACGTGTATTGTTATTTATGAGGAATTTTGTACTCAGCTTATTTTATCTGTAAAATTAACATATTTATCTCGAAAATGTTTTCACATACATATATTAACTTCAGTTAGGCAAAATTGTTATTAATAGACCTCTGGTCGATGTATACGGTGATTAGACAAAAACTATAACTTGAAAGCAATCTCAAAGGTCAAAGTTTATGTTTTATCCTTATTGGGACTTACTTGAATGATTCATTTTGAGCACACTCATTCCTAAATTTCTAAGATCATTTTTCTAGCCAAGTCAATCGAAGTTTTCTTAAAAAAGAATTCCTAAGAACGCTTTCTATCCCATTGATACCTAACATATATAATATAATATTAGTACTAGTGACTGTATCTTGTTACTACTATAGAAATCCCATATTTAGTTATGAAAATGATTAAATTATGAATCCTATCTGTATGTTAACTCTTACATATTGGTTAGCACTAGAGATGTCATGTATACTACATCCTTCATGAGTAATGTGTCATATGTCTTCAATCCTAATAATTAAATGAGCTGGATAATCTTTCTAGAGGGCATTGATTATGTTTTCAATGGATTCATACAAGATCTTCAATTTCTAGAACACTAAACCATACCAAATCTTGTATATTATTAGATACTGTTTATATTGGATATGCCAAATGTTTGTTAAATGTTCTCATTTACTATTTTCTCCTTACTTTAGGTTCATGCTTATGTTATTTCGCATTTGAAAAAAGAAATGCCAACAATCGTTGGTAAAGATGCTAAGAAAAAGGAGCTTATCAATAATTTATCCAAAGTATACGACACCATATCACGTACACAACATATATCAATTGGTGATTTCCCTAACATTAACAGAATGCAAGAATCCTTAGAAGTACATGATTTTAGAACATTTCCTGCACTACAACCAAAACTAATCAAAGCTGTCGATGAAATGTTATCGAGTGAAGTAGCAAAACTAGTACAAATGATTCCAATGGTAAGTCTACTGCTGTGATGTTGTTGGAAATATTTTGAACTCCAGTCGTATATGTGTTTTTAATATTTGATTGCTTCAGTTTACATAAGTGAAGCTTTCCAATGCAGACTAGACATGTTTAAAGCAGGATATGTAGATATTATTACTATTTGGTTTCTGGTTTGCAAAGTTATTTTAACAACTTTATTTGTCTGGAAAACCTCCCGATACACAACATTTAATTCAAACTAGAAAATGTAATTTTATATATTCTTGATTAATTTAACTCAACTATAAGGTAATTAATTGTTGGCCGGTCAGAAATTAGCCAGATCATACATGGACATGATCGGTCAAGATATGACTTACATTTCCTCAGAATGAAATACCGTCGGTTGTATAATTTTGTAGAGGGCATTATATATATCACAACACATACTTGAGTACATTCAGTGGTTTTCACTTAACACAATTTAAGTTGAATCTTTTTTGTTGTTTGGTAGAACTTCAACTCCCCAGTAGGTATGATAAAAATTTGATGTAAAATATATTTTAAGTATCTGGAAAGCCCTGATTCATTCATATTGTATGATCATTATGCTAAACAGACTGAATTGAAAATTAAATGATTGTCTGTTACGTTATAGATTGGAAAACAAAACTAACATTCCATCATATTTTTTGCCACATTGCGTAAAATGTACTATGATATTTTATTCTAATAGTAGTTATTTACAACTAACTAACAAGATTCCTTCAAAGGTTTACTTAAAACAAATAATGTATTTCTAAAGGAATAAACTACCATCGTTTCAAGTAGCACAAATAATATGATCTACAAGTATTTCAATGTTAATAATTTATTCAGTGAGTAAAGTATATGAAATGCTAAGTTTATAATTACACGTTAAAACGGTTATAATGTATAAAGCCAACTCAGGGGTGATGAAAAACTCATCTCCAAACTGTGAGTAAAATATTTAGTGTGAGATTTAGTCGTTTAGTGATTCTTATTTCGAACTACTGGTGTTTTAAATTACGTTTGACTGAATAACTGTAAGTAGATTTCAGAATTACGAAAAATTAGTGTGTGTATAAGCCTACTTTTGCGTTTGGCAGTTACTTTGCAATAAATCTTTTGATTGTGCTTCGATACTTTGTGAACTAGACTTCGTAAGTCGAATACAGTGAAGTAGTACCATCAAAGCACCATAAACTTCATTTTACACATTTGTACAGCCCTGTTTCTATATTATTCCAATCATATTTTCAGTCAGCCAGCTACAACGTAGGACCAGGCACATATATGCATCGGTCCAAGTTACCATACCACATTAGCACAGCAAGATGAACACCAGATTCATAGAAGTAGTTAATTCAATGATAGTAATGTATAAAAAAAGAATACAATAAGGATATAGTACAGAAAGAAAGAACTAGTTCGTAGAAAGAAAGATATGAAGCGCTTTTAATCTCATAGTTTAAGGGAAGACAGAGAGTGTATACACCGACGCCACTGTGATCGATTCTGAGCCATATCACCCAAAGTCTACAACCATTGGTTACGATAGTCACGCGGACCTCAACCAAGTAGTTTGCATCCTTCAACATGGCTCACACTAGAAGTTAGTGACTTCAGGGACTGATGCCACGTTTTGGTTTGGCCGCCCCTCACTTTCTTCCAACCATCTCCAACACCGGTTAGCATTGGACGTCATGGTAATCGGTGTTTAGGCATGCTTAACACGTGGCCCAACCATCTCAGTCGATGAAGATTCACAACCTCATCAACTGATTTACCATCATTCCCTAATACCCTTGCGTCTAACCTCACTACCTCATTACTTAGCTGGTGATCACAGCAGATGCGAGCATCTGTGGTCAAGACAGAACGAACTTCCGCGCAGTATACTCGTCCTTTCATTGATAGACGGATATCTCGCATTCGCCATAGGTGATGTTAGTTGACAAAAACCGAAGGAGCTTTTCGAATCCGTGCTGCGATTTCATCAGACACGAACCCATTAGGGCTGATCAGACTTTCAATATAAGTGAAGTTGTCAACGCGTTCGACTACAATTTGCATTCAGAAGGAGAGAAGCATACCCCAAACATTCTGGCATTGTTGCTCAGTGCTACCAAAAGACTGCATTTTATCAGCGTCTTCACCAAACAGGACTATATTGTCTGCGTATTCTAATTCGATAAGTGGACCTCCTGGTAGGAGATCATTGCACGAGAACTCAGTCGACGAGAGCGTTATTTCCATCAGTATGTCTATGATGAAGTTGAGCAAAAATGGAGAAAGTGGACAGCCCTGACGCATACCACTTGAGGTTGCCAAATCAGATGATAGTTCACGATATGCTCTGACTCGACTAGTGGTGTTCGAGTAAAAAGCCTTCACAAGGTTTGTGTAATTCTGGGGTACGCCTTTCAATGACAGACACTGCCACAGAATCTCGCGGTCTACAGAGTCAAATGCTGCTTTTAGGTCGTCGTCTACAAATGTAGATGAAAAAGAGGACGACAATATTTCTAGTACAATCGTACATTATCAATGGTTAAGTGCCTGCGTGCGAAGCCAGTAGGTCCTGGGTTCGAGCCCCGCGTGGTGCGGGATCGTGGATGCGCATTGCTGAGGAGTCCTATACTAGGACGAAACGACCGTCCAGTGCTTCCAGGTTTTCAATGGTGGTCTAGCTTCAACTGACTCATGATTTCAATCTGTGAAAATTTCTAAAAATCTCCACAAACCCCTTCTGACAATAAAAAGAGATCTCATTTAAAAAAAATTGGAAATCCTAATTCCATAGTATACTGTATACAGTTCAAACTAATATTTTCAAATTTGGTAAGTTGATAGGATTTCTTCAGTTGATTTTTGTAAGACTATTTTAATTCTATTTCTAATTTATTTTGTGTTTTATCTGACCAAACCATATAATACCTTGGTATGTTCAGTACAAACAGAAATAAAATCTTCAATTAGTTCATGTCTGAATCGATCAAATTAAACTATACTCATGACTGGCAAAAGTGAAGCAGTCTCTCAATATTGAATGGTGACTTAATGTTTAGGACATTTGATTTCCAGTCATTAAGTTCTAAAATCGAACCATTCCCCTTCCCACCTATTTTTGTTTGGACAAGCACAGCCACATATAGAGTGTGGTTAATATCCGAGTGTTTAATTATTTACTGTTAGGTTTGAGATACTCTCTATCGTTTACTTATTGTAAATAATTGAAATCATTTAATTTTGCCCTACTACTGTTAAACTAGCTTGATTTCAGATGTTCATTGTGCAGAAATTTTTGTAATTCATTAGACTATATATATATCCTTATATTACAACTGATATACATTTATATGTAAAAAATTGATATTCAACAATCTAAAAAAGCATATAAACTTTAATATTTTAGACCTAGTTACTGTGACACTAAATATTAGACATTTCAAGAATAATAAAATACCACCTGTGCTCTGTTATGTTCACTAACCAGAATGTTACATTTGCATATATATATATATATATATATATATATATATATATATATATATATATATAATTGCTCAGCTGTTACACAGATTGTAAATTTTTTTAATGATGTTCTCCACACTTAATAAGGTAAAGATCGAATACTGCAATTTGTACAAAAGATGGAACAACAACGTTTCAGCTGTTCGTAACACACTCATCATGTAAAAAGAAAATTGTTAGTATTTTGAAAGGATTCTTTTTTTACTGCAAGATAAGCTTGTTTAACTGCACAAATTGTATGTATGGAGACCTTGTAAAATATTTTCGGAAATAGGGTTGTAGTTGTGTGTTATAATATAGATCTTAGATCCACGAAAACGTTCCAGGGTACAAAACAAGGAATTCAAACCGAGAGACTAAATGACTAAATACTAGAGTATTCCGTCAGCGTTCTTTGTAAGTGTTCACGCAATTCGAAAATGTATGATGCAGATTTTGGCTCAGCTCAGTAGGTGATTTCTAGAGTCGAGAAAAAATCTTAATCCGGCAAGCATGCTATTGAATGATAGAGTTAAGTATTTTTCGTAGTTTTACTGGAAAAACGATCCACTGCAAAATCCATTGTTAATGTTTCTCTAGCAACTCTTAGTCTTTGGGGAACAAGAGTTATAGATAGTTGTCGGATAACTTTGAAGTATTCGACGTCAAAGTATTGTAGTCTCTTCTGATAATTTGTTTTATTTTATTTATTTCTTGAACACATAAATATTGGTACAAGGGGGCACCATATATATATGCGCCACACAAAACAATGAGAATGGGAAGAGAAAAGGAATTTAAGGTGCGTATAAGAAAAAAAAGAAGAAGGAGGAGGAGAACACTTACGACCACAGATTAGTGTGTGGTAGTGAAATAACAATAATAATAGTGGAGAAAACGGAAAGGTACAACCAGAAAGAATTATTTCAGTTAAGGAAGTTACAACCACTTTTTATGAAGAAAGTAAAAGAAGGTTACATCAGGATCGCCACTGGCTTCTATTCTGAGCCATATCTGATAACGTCTCTAGCCACTGTGTAGCACCATCTCTCAGACCCCAGCCAGGTTATCGTGAAGGACCAACAGAAGCCAGCTCTTTGCAGCTTTCTTTCATACCCCGATACCAGGTCATACACTGACCACCTCTCCGCTTTTCCCAACCAGTCCCAGCGTCGGCAAATAATGCACGACGTGGAATTCGCTGGGACGACATTCCGAGAACATGTCCAAGCCACTGAAGTCGGTGTTTCAAGATGGTGACACCAATTGCATTTTCGTCTCTGCGCCCGAACACACGATGATGAACCTCTGCATTACTAACATGATATTGCCACTGAATGTCAGCAATCCTTCGGAGACAGCGATGATCGAACACAGAGAGTCGTCTAAAGTCCTCAACTCGGAGAGGCCAGGTTTCACAAGCATAGAGCAAAACTGCTCTCACCGACGCGTTGTAGATCCGACCTTTTACGGCCAGACTAATATTATATTGTATTTAAGGTCCAATATTTTATCATTTTAGTCTGAATCTTATTCTCACATTGCTCACTTTATCTATCAATTCGTTTAGTGTTTTTATTTTGATGTATAATTTTTATCGAGTATTTATGCATTGATTATTCACCATCCATACAACAGTTTCACTAGTTTTTCTCTTTAAACTATGATTTTTGAAATAGTCTTTCAAGACAGTTTTTGTTCCAGAGATAATAACATAAGGTCTATACTAAAGAGAAATTACTGAAAACCTCATTTGTTAGCCATATATTGTATATAAGCGTCTATACAAGATCTCTACCGTTGGTACAATGTTCGAACCAGTAATTGACTTTCGAAGTTAAAGGCTGAAACCGATGAGCCACAGTAACTTATCATAAAAATATTCGATAGTCGTAAGTCTTAATAAAATGTCATAGACGTAATAAGTTTTTCCGTGTTTTGATTACTACATATTTTCTTGTTCTTAATATATTTATTCTTTATTTCTTTGTACAATTTCATACCTTTTTTAATCCTTAAATTTAAGTATCTAATAAGTGGGTATTGTTAACTATCACACATTATTTCTTTCCAGTAACTTCTTCGACTAGTATGCAGGTGGCTAATTATTTAAAGTCCTGGTCGTATTTTGCAAATTAAAGTTTTATAAAATTAAAATCACGCTTTATTACATAAAGTACCTTGAATTCTTAATTTTGAAAACTTAACCATTCTTTCTTTTAATTTCCATCTACTTGTCTTCCTCTTTGAACTTTTTCTGATCTGAATTTTTGTCTAGTTTCTAGTTCCTTTCTCATTGTTCATTATACAAAATATTTGCAATACAAGTTTCGGTTTATACACTTTCAGTCAATTAACTGGTGTTAATGATTAATAGGTTTTTTTATCCCTTTTTCTGTTATATTTTGTAGTAGTAGTAGTAGTAATAGGAAAGCTTGGTCAGTTCGTATGTTTATATGTGCATGTACTGTGTACGCACCCGGCTTTTAATGTTTCTTACTATGTCTTTACGTTAACTATGCAGTTTTGTATTCCCCACATTAAAAAAAACTAATTCCATTAAACTCGAATTTTTATTCATCAGAGTAATTTAAAATGTCAATGTGAAAAATGCACTCAGATTGAGAGAGAAAAAATATTTTCTAATGTACTACCTTTCATTCTTTTGCTTCTGTTTAAACTCAACATACCATCGAAATATGGATTATCTTTGCTATTTTTAGTGTATTGTATAATAGTAACAATAATAATGATCCGACAGTTATTTATATTAAATTTTGGACGTAGCCCATTTAGACAAGAGGCTTATTTTGCTTCTATTATCTAAATTTATCCTGTACTATGTCCTTATATGCAATCTTTCTTTTATATATTACCACCTCTGAATTAACTGCTTTTATGAATCCGGTGTCCATCTTGTTGTGTTAATGAGGTATGGCAACTTGGACCGATGCATATATGTGCCTGGTCTTACGTTGTAGCTGACTGACTGACTGTTAAATCATTGATTAGTCATTTTTAATAAACTATAGATTAATATTCTTACTAAAAAATGATTTATGCGAACAGTCTCGTTATTCTGTTTTTCTTTTACCCTTCAATCTCTTTTTACATTTATGGATAACTTTTTCCAACTTAACTGATGTGATCGTCTATATTTATATCAAACAACAATGGATACAATTAATATAAATGATATTTTATCATAGATAGACCCGTCGATCAGATTTTCAGCACAAACTTTTAAAATATGTTGTCTTATGATAAATGGAAAAAATACAACTAGGACAGAAGAAAGTAATTTTGTTCGTGAAATTTCTTTTTTGACACAATAATTTATGGTGATTCACTTATAAATGTGTGTGTACGCATACATATACGTGTAAAAATGTATTCTATCTATTTTGTAATACCGAACCTTAGATGAATCATTAATAACTGTCTTAACAGATAGTTCATATATGTTTTTAGGCAAAATAATTTAGCTAGATATATTTCTTTCCTTTATTTGTTGCTACATATTACACCAGATATGTATATGTGTGTTTGTGAAGGGTGAGGTTTATTTCCATTTTTATAATCCTGAACCTCCGTTTTTATTGCCCTTTTTAGTACATTATTTGATTTGTAAAATCATTTCCCTGTTACCCAATGCCAAACTGTTCGAATACATTGTAGTCATTTAGAGAAAATGAAATGATATTGCTTACTGTTCACTACCATAGATTTTGGCAGCTATAAGTAACGAAGAGAGAAGAATTTCAGTAGAAAAATGGATTTTTTCTAAAGGAAGCGTGTACTGAACATATTGATAAGGGTACACGTGAATAGTTAGAAAAAAGACTGGGTCATTTGAAACAGGGAGAGCAACAGTCATGGAACGACATTACAAACAACAAAAATTTTAAACAAAGTCGGAAGAGTAACACTAGTTGCGTTGTATCCTTGCCCGTTTTATAGATATTATTTTTGTCGGCTTATTTCTTCTTATGATCAGTTGTCGTCAAATCGGTTTAAGGTTTGGTGAGTCTTTTTGCAAATAACCGTTTAGTGATTTGGATAGCCTAGATCTCATAAAATACTAGGTTTAATTGTCGTTGTCTACTCAAATTGTTCAATGATGTATGAACGTACGTGTAATTTATTTAAATAAGAATAAAATCTAACAGTCAGCCTTTTATATTGATTGTTTGTAATTTGATAAGGACTGTTTATTCCAATTTATATATCTCAGTAGATAACAATCTAAGAATTGAAGCATCATGACTTTCATTCGTATATCAGAAATTGTGTCAAAATTGTTAGTTATAATTAGATCCAGTTAATATTATGTAAATCAGTTTAAAGATCCTAGATTCCACTGGGTCGCAAGACTAAAAAGTTTTATGATCTAATTAAACAACTTTACTGAGTTCAATACACAAAGAATCTCTATGACTGATAACGGCTAGCAAGAATAGTCTAGTGAATAAATTGAATTATAAATTTCTAAGCGTGAATTCATCTATATGGTTTACAAATAACAAGTATTTTTGGTAGGCTAATACATAATAATTTAGTATATGACCAACATGTATAATAGGTATATTTCTACTAATCGGTTAGATTTATACGAAAAAATATATCAAGTTAAATTGATTTACTTCAGTGACCCTAAAATAACAACTGGACTAAAAACCATATTAAATGTTTTGTTATTAATATCAGATGGGTTTTGTAGATATTATAGTAATTTCATTGGTTAAGATCATGTTTTATTATTGTTGATTAAAATTTGTAATATTTGTTCTATGATGTAAAACGCCTAACAGATTTAGATAGATAGTTTTACTACTACTATTACTACTACTACTACTACTACTACTACTACTACTTCTACTTCTACTTCTACTACTACTACTACTACTTCTACTACTACTACTACTACTACTACTACTAATAATAATAATAATAATAATAATAATAATAATAATAATAATAATAATAATAATAAGACTACTACCACTAATAATAATAATGTGCTTTCACCATTGGAATATATATATATATATATGCATTTGACACGAGTCATATGTTGTTGATTGTTAAATTGGAAAATGATCAACACGCACCTTTTTGACAATTCTTAAGTATGATCATTTTGATTATGGTCCATGTCAAATGTGTACTCCGTTTTTAATTAGTTGCTTTCATTGATATAATTGTTAGTTAGCCCAAGACCCTTTAATAGTAACCATAATTACTACACAAATATTTGTTTACGTATAATATGAATTCAGTCAGTGCCTATACATATTCTGATATCTCTAATAATACTTCTTACATGATTTGAATAAATGATTTCATCTCTGTAACCATTAATAATCTGAGGCTTATTCATCTTTTAAGATACAAATTCTTCTTCATATAATATTTTTTCAGTAGTTATAGAACTGTTGAATCAGTGCGTCGATTCACTACTCGGATATATTGACATCTCAATAAATTTTAGTTTGTTTCTATTTTGACTAGAAAATATAATAGCGATTCAAATGAAAAAATCTACGTTTCCGCCTAGTTGAAATGACGATGAATTCATAACACACAGACGAAACTTGTCAGAAATGTGTATTTATTTGATTTTTCCATAATGAAGTGAGATCGACATGATCTACAGGATGATGTTATTATTGGTTACAAACTAAAGAAAGAGGATATAGAATAATGTGTTTACTGCAGTAAGTGTCATCAAACTGAAGAAAATGCAGAATGAATACATTCTCTGCATTACAAACATTTTTACGTTATATAATCTATTCTCCGATAATGGATCATAATTATCTTACGTGCCCAACTAGGAAATTTGCACATCCCTACACAATTCAGACTAACTGTTAATGACTTCGCAAAGTGATGCTATATCTTCATATCATCAGGGTTTTAACCTATTTCTAGTCTACTCCTATTCTAGTCAATACGAATAGTGTTGAGTGGTAGCTGGTTATACATAATAAACAACTTGGTCACCTAGATGGTAGAAGGTTTACAACTGCATCAACTGACTCATCGTCTTAAATTTGTGCTTTATGTCTTGGTAGATTTCATTACACGCAAAGATTACCTCGAAAATGTTTTTCGCAAGATACTAATAACCTATTCAGATATTTTGCTCTACATGACTGTTATTTACTGACTTGGAGTGATACAAAGTGAAATATCTCACAATATACTCATGATGTGTTTGACGGCATCGGTAATGCAAAATTTTGATAATTTTCAAAATGTAAACTAAGGTTCATCATATAATATCAATACTTTTGCTTATTCAAAACAACTAGATATTTATCTCAGCTTATTCAGTGTAGCTTTGATTAAGATAAATTTCATGTAGGGAACTTCTTAAGTCGATCCTCTTCAAACCCACTCCCGTTTAATATTTCTCTTTAGTTTGTTTCGACATTTCTCATTACTTTTCTTTTTTTATGTTATTGAGAGCAGTGTTAATTATAGTTTATATACTATAGAGTGCGAAGTTCTATTCCACTCAGTTCATTCATCAATTAACAACCTGTCTTTACACGGTCATTACCAATGATAAATTGTTAATTATCCAGTAAATATGCACATAATTAATTGTAACTGATTGTTATTATTATTTCTATCAATTGATCATTTCAATCCATTGATTTAGATACAAATTGTTGAACACAGATATCAACATACATAAACATGTCTGATGTTTGTTTGTTTTTGATATTTTTAACATTTAAAAGGTTGAATTACTATTATTAAAATAGTGATTCAGAGTCAAACATATGTAGCATATTTTTTTCGACATTGAATACTAATACATATGTCCGATATTGATTGTTTACAATATCAGCAATACTATACCACTGATTTCACTTCATAATATAAATTCAAAGAACTATGGACATCTACTTCGCTCTAGATTGATATTTCATAATTCCCAGTCATTTCTATGAGTGCAAAATTATCCAGTCATTTGGGTCAGAATTTCATGATCCATGTTTCTCAACTTCAGTCATCCCATGATTTGACATCATTACTGTCTTGATTGTGATGTGTTCGACCTGTATCATAAAGTCTGGTCGATTGGCATCGATTTCTAGTCTGAATTTCCACCCCACAAGTTACATTGCAATACTAGATCTAGGAAATTTTCCCATATTAAAAGGAATCCCTATTGATCAATGAATTATCATTCAAATAATTAGATACAGATGGTAACCCTAAAAATTATTAGAAATACTTCTCTAATAGTTTATGCCTTTAGTTTGGCAAACAGGTGTAGGTCAACACATTTTTTAATAATTTTCCTCCTAAGAAATCAATAATTACATACCAAACTAGTAATTTGTTTTGGCTTCCGTTTTATGGAATTATAATAAAAATTTTGTTCCCGTTACACTGACTATCATGTTGTTTTTCAATTGTTTTTATATTTAATGATGACAGTCCTTTGAACTTTCTTTGGTCAAAAAATACTATTTTTATGCCTGTTACAGAGTAAACAGTTTTATTGAATAAATTTAAATTGACGTTCTTCCTATGTAACGGTTTGTTTTTTAATAGGAACGTGATGCAATCGTAGAAACACATGGTCCAGCTGTTACAGGTGGTGCATTCGATACATCTGGTACACCATTCAGTTTTCATGCTGGTGAAGGATTTGAAGAGGGTCGCTTTGAAAAGGATTGGATTGTTGATCGTTTTAGAGAACCATGGGATAAAGTAAGTAGAAATATAAAGTATGCAAAAGATTGTAATACGTCTTCTAGAAGAGTATCAGTCAGTTAGTCATGTACAATGTAGAACCGACACATACGTTTAGGCTGCAACACCACATTAGCACAATAATTTGCCAAATTAGTATAAACAGTAACAGTATCAGCGGTAATAGCAAAAATCAGGCTTGAAACTAAGAGTTGGCGGAGTTAAAAATATTTTTTAGATAATTACGAAGCTTAGGATATATGAAAAGACAAGGAGGGAATATATTTGTGTCATTGCGAGCTATTCTGAACCGTGTCCCCAAAAGTCTCTTACCATTGGTGACGTTTATTGCACCGTTCCGAAATAGGTAGTCTGAACTTGCGTACGCAGCTCAGTCCAACAGTCAATGATTGCATGGACTGATACCATTAGTTAATTTTGTCTCTTTTATCTTTCTTCCAACCTACTCAACCAGCCGTAATCGCATGTAGGTTATGGTCGGGCATAAGTAATACATGTTCTGACAGTCCCAGTTGATGAAGATTCACTACCTCATCAACAGATTTGCTATCTTCTTTATTTACCCTACATCTAACCTCAATGTTGCTCACTCGGTGGTCCTAAAATACGCTTACGATGCATCGAAATAATCTGTGGTCAAACACTAGCAACTTACGAATATCATCTGTTCTTAATCTCCACGCTTCACACCTATAATGTAGAATAAAGTGAACTGCTGAACACTGAACTCACCCTTTGGTTGATATATGGATATCTTGCCACAAGCCAGCTCAGCTTTCTGAATTTGTACCAAGGTTTCGTCAGACACCAAATGCATCAGGGTTGATCAGACTTCATAATTACAAACCTATAACAGATTAGTGATGCAGCGTTGAACCTGACGGTGTACATCAGTTCAAACTGTTAAATTTGCCAGCAACATCTGAAAGCTAACGTCAGAAACGTAAAACTTACTAAAGTGAATGAGAAATATCGCAATGTTCTCTCTACCTAGACATAGTGATGAGGCTTGGATATCGTGATAACCCAACCGAGCTAATATTGGGCGGAACACTCGTCTCTTCAGATCAGATAGACTTGTTGGGGAATGATGACAGTAAAAACAGCGACCCTGTGATTCGAGGGCAAGTTTGTACTCCCAACTGTATGACAGTGCGACAGCATTAAAGTGTTACCTTCAAACAACCCGCATCTGCAGCGATGCTAATTTCCGACAACGGATGAAGAGGATTAAGAAAGGTCGACCCTAAAATTAACAGACCTCACTATGTTCCAAGTATTCCCGTGTCCACTGTTGAGGGTTTACATGTACGGAGCTATCTAATTTAAGACTACGCGAAAAAAAGCTGTGACCGGCTGTGACCGTCAAATTTGAAGTCACTCTTCCATGTCATTGAAATCCCAATCATATTCACGCATAAACTCAAATGATTAAAATATCTTCCTCAATAACATTCATTTGGTTATTTAGTAACGTGTATTTTGCGAGAAAATTGTTGTTTTTATTATACTAACATATCTATTGAGTAAATCAAACAAAAATTATTCATATTCGCATAATATACTAGGGTTAAGCTTTATTGAATGACTGAATTCTTTCAAATTTCAATTCACCGCATTTATGTTATTTGAGTCATTCAGACTATCCTTTCAGTCTTCATATTTCTTTTCTTGATGATATGGTCATTTGTGATCCAAATTGCACTTTTAGTGTAAAGGATTCTACACGAAGCTTGTGACATAATTGTTTAAATACTTGGATGTTAATCCTTATTGGTTCATATTGTCTCTTGTCCTACCTATAATATATATAAAGCATATGATGTATAAATATGTTAGAACTATATATGATCGTGTGGTTGAAAGCATAACACATTTACACTGGTTTGCTGACGAGTTAATCTTCTTACATGTACTAAGAAAAAAATAGAAATTATAATATTTAAACCAGAATTATTGCATAATCATATTGAATTTGATCTCGGGTTTTGCTGTTATTTTCAAAATAACTGACCCAATGTTGTTGTACTTAATTACACTGACAGTTAATCAAAATAAAATTGAATAAAAATATCTGCTGGTAATTATTACACAAGAATTATGTTTTAATAAAGTCAGTTATAATAATAATAATAATAATAATAATAATACTAGGATTTACATTCAGCTTTAGTCAATCACATATCGTCCTAATATCGTATGTAAAAATGAATAAGTTCACTAACATTAGTACAAATACTTGTACCCGCTTGTTTATATATATATATATATATATATATATATAATTATTATTATTATTACTTCACTAGTTGTACGTATTCAGTTTCTATGCCTCTTCTCTACTATCTGTAGATAATTATAGCAATGATTAAAATTGTAGATAAAAAGTTGTTTATACCATTTTAAAGGGGATATTGTGTCCAGAAAAAGATACTTTAAAGAAAGTTTGAAATCTGTATCTAATATGAAGTAAATCCATTTGAAATTCATCATCGAAACAAATTTGACAATTACGTCAATTGTATCATCTATGTGACATATTTAGTTTTGCTCTAAAATTGTAAAAACAACAGTATAATTTAAAGACATTAGTTCTATTTTACATTGTATCAAAATGTACTTATAAGAAGATTGTTTCTTATGGATCGTTATAATAGCTGTTTGCAAGAAAAGATACGTATAAATCCTTTTTAGTGATACTAATTTTGAACTATTTTCTATTCCATATTTCCCATACTGATTGAACACTACCCAGAAATAGGATGTTTTGATAGGATTCAGAAAGAAAATTCCTACTCTCTCGATATATATATTCGTCAATGTAACTTCTTATTTCCTATATTTTACGAATGCATTTCAAAGCAAAGCAGATAGTAACTGAGGCACTGAAATTTCACACCTTAATGGAGTGTTAAAATGATCATAAGTAACGCATTCTGGTTACGTAATCCCAGATCATCTACATCACTCTAAGTTACGCATTTAATGCCAGTATTAGTTGTATTACTTAGCTGTCCAAATCAAAAGTTAGTCACGTGTAGTTTAAACTGGTAACTATTAAGAATACTTCTCTGTTGCTCTAACCATTAAGTTGCCATTCATCATCTAATTATTAATGTGTGCATAAATGTGTATTTAATTTTGTGCCCTGATATCCATGACTTTTAATTAACTGCAAAATTCATATGCTTTTCAGTCATGTTTCAATTTTATTAAATAAATTATTGTGCTTGAATATCAATTCTTACTAGAAGTGCGTCGGAATATTTAGCATTAATTAATTATCACATTTTTAAGACAGTATAAAAATTCACAGTATCAATTTTATATATGACCCTTTAAAGTATTGATCTCTTTCGAATTTTGTGTTAATCAATATGACATTCGTTTTTACCACTGTCACCAGTTAATTTGCAGTTATATTCAAAAAGTAAAACCAATTGTTCAACATATAGAAAACCTTCGTCTAATACAGGTACACAAATAAATGAAAATGTAATAATAAGTTTAGGAAAACCATGGAGATTATTAAATTTCATGGTTCATATCACAACCTAACCTTAGCTAAACAACCATTGAAAACCAGGAAGCAATTGTCAAGAAGGACTTGTCAGCTGTGAACACTGCCACTGAGAATCAAGACCAGGACTTGCGGATTGTGCGGCTATTGTTTAATCTTTAGACTTTGATATAAACTATGAAACTTAACAATCTCCACAAACATTTTATACTGAAAATTACCATGTATGCTCTTTACTAACTAGTTTCGATAGGTAATTCTCGGAGTCCTGTTAAGAAACTGTAATCAGGGGAGTCCAGCCATGTTTGATATGAGGCAGTTACCTACAGATTACATTGTAATATGAATGTGCTACATCTTAAAAATATTGCACTTTGACATGAAGACCAAAGGATGCCGCCGCAGTGGTCCAAAGGTCATGCTCTGGACATGAGAACTGAAGTTCAATTCCTGGTGATGTTTTGAGTGTCCACTTCTGAGTCCTGTGCTAGGACAAAACTGCTGTCAAGCGCTGCTTAGTTTCGAATAGTTATCTGATTAAGGTCACTTCGTAATGCAAGCCATTAAAAATATAACAACTGTGTTGTACAAGCACGAAAGTTGTGAATACAACTTATGTATTAGTCTAGTACAATTTTTACCAGAATTTTCGAGGTGTAATACGACTATCAATGTTTATAAATATATTTAACTTAAATCTATTCTTTTATGACTTGAAGATCAATCATTTTTAAAACCTTATCAGTTGGAGCACTTCAATCATTCCATTTTTAACAAATAACAGTTTTTAATATGTTTTAATAATTTTGAAATATTATTGATTGGTATAAGTCTAGAGTGAACATGGGATCCAGTTACTCATCAGGGCTTACTCCTAACCTTATGAACTTGATAATTTCCAGGTTTCAATGAATCTTTTTGTATATTGATAATAATATTATATAATTTCTATACATTTTTTTCATTCTAAAGGAGTTTGACAAACTAAATCCTGTGGATGGTAAAATCAGTGGTGAAGCTTCACGTAGTCATATGGTCAAATCCAATTTACCTTATAGTGCATTGAAAAATATTTGGATACTAGGTGATATTGATCGTGATGGTTGTCTAGATGCTGATGAATTCGCTTTAGTCTGTTATATAATGAAATTAAAACTAGAAGGCTACGAATTACCGCCTACACTTCCTGCCCATTTAGTACCACCATCTAAAAGAAATTCTGAACAAGCACTTCGTAATGGTTACCATCAAGAATAATGCTCACGGCAAAAGTTTTTATTTATTGACTAAGAAGAACACACAAACCCCACGCCAAAACAGGGACAAAGAACTACTGTCAGTTTATCTTGGGTTTTTTTGTCGCTGCCATTAATTATAACATTTGCTTCCCACTTTTTTTTCAGACGGATAATCTAGTCTAAAAATTTTATCACATAATAATAATCTTATGTTTTGGAAATTTTTCTTTGCAATTTCAGCATGCCAGTTAATCTCTACAAACATTTTTGGTAATACCTTGTATACCATTATTACTAACGAAATAGTATATTTCAGTTCTGTATAAAAAGATATAAGAAGGAGGTCATGATAATTTTCTTACACTGGATAGTTATCATACTCCTTTTGTTTTTCATGTGCCTTTTCAATTTGTTTGTTTGCTCTTGTTTGGATATTGTTTTGTTTTGGTTTTACAAATCTCATATACAACAGATCTCTAATAGTCTTTTTAAGTTTTTCCATCCTTATTACTACTAATGTTATCCTTATATTATAATTGTTTATGCTAGTTTGTTTTATTTTTTTGAAGGAAAGAGGTAAAGGAATAAAATTGGCCAGAACATTAAACAATTTTTTGTTTGTTTGTAAAGTTTCAAAGTAATACATTAACATATGTAAGAATATAAATGGTTATATATTCACTAGGATTATTACAAATACCTTTCGCTTTTATTCTGTTCTATGAATATTCATTTAATACATGAAATTTGTGATAAAAAGTATAAAATCATATATTGTTTCCGATTATAAATGATTGTTTACGCTAATAATATCTGATATTGTTTGTTTTATTCACATATAATAATTTTTCTAATAACGATAAATCTTTATAAATATGACTGGTAAGAATGATGTTATGATTAAATTGTTGTTTTTCAGAAGGGAGTAATCAATATCTTACATGGTAGTTTCATTACTTGCTATCATGGTTTACATTGGTTTGATCCTAAATAAAATAATGTGACGGAAAAATGTTAATGATTAACACCTACTTATTTATGACTGATGAAATTTTAATGTGGTTGAATTATAAGCAATTGTATAATGGTTTAGCTTTACTTAAACGCCTTTTAGTGCTGATCATCATGATTCTTAGTTCAAATTGACGTTTTTTTGTTGGTCTGATCAGAGGAAACTTATTCTTCCGGTTTGTTTGAACGTTTCTATATTTGTTTTTCATTTTGTAATTAGTCGGTATTCATTGAATGAAGGCTATTCTGTTTGAAGAATTTATTTCGACACAAATGAATCCAGTTTATTTTACAAGTGATTCTTATTAGCGAATTCTTCTAAATAATTTTATATACCTGTATTTGAACCCATTTTTATAAGAATTCACGGTTCAGCTTCACGCATTGTGAGTATAAAAAAAACATAGGCCTCAACATTTTACTACATATTTTAATTTGTACTAATGATGAAATTCCTAAATGAACGTTCCTATATTGAATTATTTATTTGCTTACCAATTACTTCATTCGCTTATGTATACAAATTCAAAAGTATGCTGTCACTTTAACCTCTTCAGTACAATTCACAACCATGTAATTTTAATTGGATTTTTCCTCTTATTGATTGGATTTATCTTTTTTTGTCTGGATGTATGAAAAACTATATACGCATTTTTTCTGTTAAAAAAATTAAATTTCTGCCTAATTTTCATCAGGGTCTAGTTTAGTCATTACAGCATTTAATGTTCAACTATTGGGTTTCATTTTCGAATTCCAGCTAGTGAGTTTCATACATAAATAATTAGTCAGAGCTGTTGTATTTCCCGTTTACGCAAATAACACTAGCTTTTCAAAGTAATTAGTCCCTTTGATAAATTTCGATAGTGTAATAAGAAGATGAAGATTATCAGAATTATGTGATATATTAGCGCAATGCATTTCGAACAATCTGATCACACATATACTTGTTAAGAAAATTTATACATAAAAATCACCATTTAGAGGTGATTCAAATATCCTTTTATTGAAATAAAAGGATTAAACCAGTCATCAACAAAACGTATTGCGCAGCGAAGGTCATTATCAAAGAAAGAACAAGGTTCATGCTTCATCCAGAACCTAAAAGACATGACTGTGTCACATCCCACCGTGTTTACCATGAAGTAACAGGCCATAAGATTGAACTTATCTCGGCTTTTGTGGTGTTGTATAGAAGTCTAAAAGGGCGTATACTGAGGTTTATTGAAACCTTAGCCATCCGAAAATCCAAACTCCCTTTCTGTATTCTAAAACACTGTTCTCATCTTAAACCTACCCTGGTAATATTAGCTTATTATCCAGAGTGATTAAGTTTCATATTACTATTACTTTTATTATTATCCTTGTCTCCTTTTATCCTCTATTTCTTGTCTAGTTGACCATTTATTTTTATACATAAACGTTCTTAACAAGTATATGTGTGATCAGATTGTTCGAAATGTATTGCGCTAATATATCACATAGTTCTGATAATCTTCATCTTCTTATTACACTATCGAAACTAACTTTTTAGCTCTGCTAAGTTATATACTTACACCTATTTGGCCACACAAATGTCCACCAGTCTCCAACAATCAATCAAAATACTAGCAAGCTAGTACAATATCTTGTATTATTATTAAACTCACGTGATCTCATATGTAGTAAAATTCACAACACAGCGGGGATAATGGACCATAATTTGTAAATAATTATGATTTTTGTGTTACAAAGTCTCAGTAATAATTCTATAATTTATGGATGGGAAAATGTATGGCAACAGTTAATGCGTCAAATGGAAGCTCATAATTAGGACAATAATAAAATACTATAAATAATTTGTTTAATAAACATACACCAAAATATATATGAGCTGATTCACCAGAGGACAGATTTTAAAGTTCTCTATTTCCATTTATGTTCGCTTATAAATAAAGTAAGAATATCAACTGTAGCTGAATAATTAGAATTAATTTATTTCGTGATTTCTTGTCAGCCGCTCACAGTCTAGAAACAGTAGTATTAATCATTTTGAGAAAAAAATACGAGTGTACATATTTCAAATGAAAAGTTTTAATTACAGTTGGGTCTGATATGTAGATTAATAGAAAAAAAAACAATTGTGAAAGAATCATCTAAATGACTGTTTATTCATTTATAAATTAAATATTCTACAAGAGGAAACTATAAAGAGCACAAAGAAAAAATTCTCCGAAATCGGAGATTCCTGTCACTGTTTATATAATACTTAAAAAATGACCAATCCAGTGAAGCTCAACAGATTCGATTTCTTTTTGTTTATTGGTTATTTTAAAGAATTTTGAATTATCAACATCATATCCACTGTAAATGACAATCGCTTACACTACTGAAAATATTATTCGTTTATTTTGTGGAACATGTTCAGAGATGCGGCACGTAAGTGTAAACTACTAGGCACAGTAGAGGGTTACATAAGTCGGGCACTTACCCATAGTTGACCGTTGCGATGACATTTTCGTTTAGTACAGAGACCAGCGTGGGGGCTGATAGGACCTTTCTCGGTACAACTTTTAGTCTAAAAATCAATCATTGAAGCCATCTCACTACCCCTGAAGTCATGTCGTAGGTTGATAGGCTTCCTCAGCTATAGCGTGATTTGTTTCCTTTTTTCTGGCTCCCGCATATTTAATTTTTCTCTTGCTAATAACTGTTGTGTTTTTGTTGAAACGCCATTTAACCGGGAAAGTAGGTAATTGTCAGAAAATAACTAACCTTAGCCGAATATTTTTTAAGCCTGATATCATAATTCCTTATAATGTGACTATCGAATCAAGTCATCATAAGATGGTTTTGAAAACAAAAGTAAATTTGTCAATACTTTGTTTACAACAATCTACTGAACTTTGTTATTAATTTGCAATAAGTGCTTGTTAGCATTCACTTCTAGAGAAACTTGTATTTGATACTTTTGGATTATCGCCGGATATGATGATTCACACCTATGTGGAATGATTGTTTCCCTATTTTGTTTAGGGTCTTAATTTTGTGTATATGTTTATTTGGTATATGGTAATGACTAAATTTATTTGTTTACTATATCACTATTTTGTCTACATAGCACTGTGCAGAAATATGTACTTTTGAGAAAAAAAATCCAATATTTAAAGAATCTAATTAAATTCATGGCTACGTAATGTTTGATTTTTTTGAAAGTGATAAATTGTGTAGAGAGCATATTTTAGATTGATTGGGGCTGATCAGTCTTCATCACCATATAAGGCCTGTAGCAGATGTGTATGAGTTCAAGTTGTTGCCTCGTCGTACATCAGCACAGCGAAAGAGTACTGGTTTCTACTAAATACCTTTAATAAAACCTGCAATAAGACTCGATAAAATAAATAAGAAATGTTTAATGCTGCGTTCAGTTGTATCTACCATAGGAAGAAAAAAATAATGACAACTGATACCTAGGTATATATTAAAATTGAGTAACTGAAATCAAATGTAATTTCATTAAGTAAAATGACATATTTCTTCCATAGTTGTTTGGCAAGATTCATATTTTGCGCATTTTTAGTATACGTTATCTGGTAAACTTCTTAATGTTCCTTAAACATAACATCGCCAAACAACACTCATTGATAATGTATGATTCTTGAATGCTTATGGTACTTATTTTTAGTGACAAAACGGCAGTTCTTGTTACCTTAACACATTCTGAGTAGAACATTTAGGGTAACGTCAGTTTAGGAGCATCATCTAATTTAGTCTACAATGCTTAATAAAAATTTCCAAATTATGTGAAGGAAGAGTCCCATTGGAAAGGGAGAATAAATAATTCGCCTTTTCCTTCTTGATTGCTCAGTCTATTTGACCGGTTCTATTAATTTCGATTAAAGTTAGAACAGATCAGACACAAAAGAGATTATGCCATTTAATTGATGCGACCTGTACATTACGGTTGATTTAATTTCGGAATTTAAACTCTAAACAGCCTAACTATTCGTCGCCACATTCAGTGAACGGTCCCCGTATTCATGTACAAATAATTGGAGCGGTTCTCGTTACAGTAAACGGTTTACGTCATACGAGAAATCCACCATAAATAATACTCGTGACAGGAAGTATGTTCATTAGGTATTGCTATTTCAAGCTGTCAACTGACAACATAAAAGTTCCCTGTACTTCAGATATACATCTCTGCTAGATTAGAATTATTTGCATTGTGATCTCGAAATTTTCGCAGTCCAGTAAGATAAGAGGCAATGAGGTAGCAAGCGTACTTGTCATTTGGGCCTATCGCTTTGTACTTCAGTAATTCAATGTCCTGTCAAGCATTTCATGATATTTACATTCGGCAGTTGGCCAAATTGTAAGCTTGCTTTATAGGGTCTTTCCGTGATGTCTAGTTTCCTGATCACTATGACCACGAACACTTCGGCTTTTCAAAGACTCATCTTTCCTTATTGATTACTATGTAAACATGTTTACAGCATAATGCACTGCTATTATCTGATAAGTTGTGAAACAGCATCGTTACGAAACCTTTTACAGACGATTTTGTAAAATGCAAATAACTATTTTTTTCGCATAACAGAAAATGATTTACATTTGTGGAATAAACTTATTTCGACATGTTATTCGTCTATAGTGATGAATTCAGCTTGTGGTATACTTGGACTTCCATTGAAATATCACCGTCATCCATTTTCATAACTATTGTTTTGAGATGATGAACTGTTTCCAGGCTTTGGTGTGTCAGAGAAACTGGTGTTTATGAGAAACATCAGATTATGAGAGTATAAATTATTGATTTCTTTCATTTGACAACCGCAAGAGTCATCTGTGTTTTCGTCCATTATTTTATTTTAATTATTAGCAGTCTTGTGATAGCTTTGGTTATCTACTAGGAGAAGTCCTGTAACTTACTTCTTTGTTTCCCTCTTCTATTACTGCTCTGATTTGAGGCGCGACAAAACATTGGAGGTAATAACTTTCGGGTTTTACTCTATATTTATTGAGGTGGTTGTTTAGCGTACTTCACTCAATATTGCAATAAACATCCGTAAATATCAACAACGTTATGTTATATAATAATAATATTAGGAGAAAAGTAGGACATGAAGAAACTTACTAATAGAACTTAAAATATATGCTTTTTAAGGCAGATTGGATCGTTCCAAAACAAGCATTAATCTTGTTTTTTTCCCCAACTATTTATTGACAGAATTTTTAAATTAATTTCTAAACTAATAAGCTGTTTTTAGAATATCTCTCTTCAACCTGACGAGATGCAAGTTGTTTTCCACATTTTATGAATTGCTTATTTGCGTTTGCTACATTTTGAAAGTCAATTACCTAATACACTTAAAATATTGACATCAGCATGATCTTTATGCGGTGTCAACTATATTAAAAAAACGATGAATCATAACTAAGATTTCTGCAAGCGCGATTAACCCCCTGTCTAGTATTCCGTAAATGAGAATTTTCATGTGGTCAGAGATATTTAAAGTAGCTATTCCAATCCACTAATATGTCAAATTTTCTGTAGGCTATAGGAAATGATGATATTTCCGAACACAAAAAGAAAGAAAACTCGTTGGAAGTTATACAACAGTACCATAACTGGAAAACCGCTCATTTTACCATTCCTTATACTTGTGTAATTTAAACATACAGCAAGTTGTTTACAATTTGACCAAGTTACTTTAAATATATTATTAGTAAGCCATTATACCCCTATGCGCTAATATTCACATTTAGTTAACTCTTACAATTTACATACTAAGGCACGGATAACCGCATTAGATCAAAACGGTCTAATTCGATAACCAATCGAGTATGTAAAAGTTGTCTAGAGTAGTTCGGAAACCAAAACAATTGAAAAAAATGAAACAGTGATATTAGAAAGAAACTAAGCATATGTAAATATCTGTGCAATACATGAGATTATGAATCATGAACTTCATTATTATCGACCTTCCTTTGACGAATTTCCGAAATCTCATCATCTACATTTTCCTCTGATACATCGTCATCGTGAACATTAGACCTGGATTTTTCTGTTTCATAATGTAACTAAAAACATGAGAAAGTTATTTTAAAATATCTGAAGAACATATTAAATTAAAAAAAGATACAATGGTACTCTCTGAATGAGATTCTATCACATACGAAAATATGTCATGTCTTGAAAAAAACGATTATGTCTCGGGGTTTCTGGTTTGCATAAGACACTTATGAATTAAAAATTGAGTTATACTAATACGAACGGTCCTATTTCGGACTCTATAACGGCAGTTGGGCACATAACAATTGACCGCAAACACAGAAAACAGAAAGGTAAGGAAAATATGGCATTCGGGCAGTCTAAAATAGTACAACTCAGTAACATGAACATGACTTCTGAGCACACAGCAAATAAGTGAACTAAAAGTAGTGACAAGTAATCGGGAAAGGGTAAAGGTCACGCAAAAAAATGGATTCAGAAAGAAGCATTAGTAGTAACGCTTACTAGTATGACTTAAAACCACTGATAAAGATTGAGTAATCCTATGTTTGCCTTAGCAGTATATTATGTTAAATTGTGAGAATATGTAAACTAAACAGCAGTAAAATTTAGATTTTCAATTTACTCTACGTAAATAACTAACTTCATATCACCTGTAACTCCGTCTGAATGGATATACTATGCAATTCATCAACAGACATTATTCAGAGACCAACATAAAATTCGATAATAAAAACTCCTAAAAGTAACAGGTATTCCTAAAACTAGTTCTTAAATAGCAATACACTTTAAGTGGTGTCCGTCAAGGCTGTCCACTTTCTCCATTTTTGTTCAACTTCACTATAGACCTACTGCTAGAAATAACGTTCTCGTCGACTGAATTCTCGCGCATTGAACTCCCACCAGGAGGTCCACTTATCGACTTAGAATACACAGACGATATAGTTCTGTTTGGTGAAGACGCTGACAAAATACAGAGTCTTTTGGTAGCACTGAGCAACAATGCCAGAATGTTTGGGATGCGTCTCTCTCCCTATAAATGCAGTTTGTTGCTCCAGGACTAGTCTGCGTCAACACCTAAACTAAAGGAGTGAAGTAGTCGAACGCGTTGACAACTTCACTTATATTGAAAGTCTGATCAGCCCTAATGGGTTCATGTCTGACGAAATCGCATCACGGATTCGAAAAGCTCCTTCGGTTTTTGTCAACTAACATCACCTATGGCGAATGCGAGATATCCGTCTATCAATGAAAGGACGAGTATACTGCGCGGAAGTTCGTTCTGTCTTGACCACAGATGCTCGCATCTGCTGTGATCACCAGCTAAGTAATGAGGTAGTGAGGTTAGACGCAAGGGTATTAGGGAATGATGGTAAATCAGTTGATGAGGTTGTGAATCTTCATCGACTGAGATGGTTGGGCCACGTGTTAAGCATGCCTAAACACCGATTACCATGACGTCCAATGCTAACCGGTGTTGGAGATGGTTGGAAGAAAGTGAGGGGCGGCCAAACCAAAACGTGGCATCAGTCCCTGAAGTCACTAACTTCTAGTGTGAGCCATGTTGAAGGATGCAAACTACTTGGTTGAGGTCCGCGTGACTATCGTAACCAATGGTTGGAGACTCTTGGTGACATGGCTCAGAATCGATCACAGTGGCGTCGGTGTATACACTCTGTCTTCTCTTAAACTAAGAGATTAAAATTGATTCATATCTTTCTTTCTACGAACTAATTTTTTCTTCCTGTACTATATCCTTATTGCAATCTTTTTTTTATATATTATTATCATTGGATTAGCTACTTCTGTGAATCTGGTGTTCATCTTGCTGTGCTAATGTGGTATGGTAACTTGGACCGATGCATATATGTGCCTGGTCCTACGTTGCAGCTGACTAAAGAAGTGACTTTATTAGGTATCTGTTCACATTAAGTTGTGAGTATCCTTTAACTCATCTCCAATTATTTGATCAAAATAAATAGGCTTGTCGCGATATGTTAGAGTTTTCACCAGGTGCAAGATAAGTGTGCTGACTAGTTGATGTTAATTTCCTGTGCATAGCTTCTTTTGACGTTCCACTTGATCTCTTTATAAACAAGATACTTAAAAAAGTGATATTATAATTAAATTCTTAACCTAGGGTGAACGTGATAGACGGATGAGTGTTGTTAGATTTGTCATCTTACTAGCATGTACTACGAAATTGTCCGTGTAATGAGAATAAGATGACTAATTTAGTCTTTACCTGAAATTTCCTCATATCCATCTTAACAAACCAAATGAATGGCTTCGCAAGGAATTTTTAAAACTACTCTCCCCATAGTGGTCAATAACAAAATCGACGCTCAATTTTCCTTTTTTGTTTCCCTCTGACGTAATTGTTAAACTCCTTTACCAACTTTACGTAACTACCATTAATATTCGACTCCTTATTATAATTTTCTTTGATTCTCATGCTAGCTATTATATGTTCCAGCGTTGAATCAAAAAATCATGGTTGGTCAGTAATAAAAACATAACAGTGTGATCCGTTCACCAAGTACGAAATTATGTACTCCACTTTGAGCAATACTATTTATATGAGGGCTAGTGATACTCTGCTCGACTATCCAAACTGAATTAAGGACTGAGTTAGGACCAACACCCTACTGACTGGAAATCAGTGAGCCGTTATTTATGCAAAACAAACTAAATGAATAATTAGGTCATGGCAAAAAAAGAGCAAGACTTACAGATTCTTCCATCTTTTTAGGTTTCCTAATAAATCTTAGGATTTGTGGACGCGGTGGGAAAAAACAATCAAAAATCAATACAAGTATCTAAAAGAAAAAAATTACAAATAGATATTCTTGTTTTGTAAAACCTACAATTCCAATGAACAGTCCGGAAAATATAGTCGATAAACCAATGATCAAAAATGACATCCAATTACTATAACCAGCATCTAAAAATGCTTGATGAGTATTCTATAAATAAACCAGGTTAATGAACAATTAAATGTAATTACAAATACAAACCGTAATGAAAATGCCAAGATCCATGAAACGTATGAAAATATGCATACTATGTAATTTATAGAAGGAAAATATTATGAATAACAGGTAAAAATTACTGAAAAGATGCTGGTGAGTAATACCATGGTAAAGGTGTTTCAGTTTCATATTTTTCAGATTTCACATAAACTCTGAGATCATCAAGAGTTCTTGCCCCGTCGTACACTCTGAATAGGCCATTTTTTACACTGAAATACAAATTATATGCACTTGATGAATTATTTACAGTCAAGTTAAAGTATATTTTATATTAAGCAAAGAATAATAAAATATATATTAAACTTTATCGTAATTAAATTACTAATCATATAAGCAAACTTATTCACTTTTATGATTTCGTGTTTTAAAATCAGTCATACGTAACCAATGAAGGCGTTTTGCAAAAATTTAATTTGATATAACTTAATGAGCGAATGAAGATTAATACACTACGCTTCGAGTCAATTTATGTGTGTGAAGGCTAGTGATTCCACTATGCTTTCCAAGATGACGTAAGTGGATCATAGTTTTTGATCTTGTGACTTAATGGGTGGAAGTATGGTAATTCAATGTCAAAGTCACTTCTCTATAAAGACACCAAGTTTGAATTTGTATTTTTTTTGTCTGTATACATACTTTTCATTGATAATGCTATGGTCAAAAACTATCTTTAAGTTTTCTACGGTGCTAAATTGACATAAACATACGGCTAAAGGGATCGTGACATTATTAACTAACTCATCCAGCTTCAGACTTCAAACGTCGAAGCAAACTTTTTCGAACTGTCAAGGATTACACTGAAATCAAAATATACACAGGGAAGTCATGTATTAATTTCAATTCGTTTTCAGCACCTCAATTTTCTTATACACATATTTGAGAAACGGACAACTTAGATTAAAACAAAATAACTAATTTGCCCGTTTGCAATGAGTTGCGTTTCTAGTTCCCAGAATCAATTAGTTCTACTTTATACTAATGATTTATAAGCTGTAGTTTATTGAATTTGTTTCAGGCCATGTTTACTGCTCAAGAATTACTTTCTCTGGAATATTATTTTGGCAGAGATTACTCCACTACTTGTAAGTAGGCCGAGTAGATTTTACAAAATATTTTCTAACCTTTCAGATTTTTTTTACCATGTTTGGTATGAGCGAATGAACAAACAGACGAATTACGAGCAGTAAAACAGAACATTTATTAATATAATACTGTGATTGTGTATCGAGAAATAAATTCATAGTATCTGACGAAGAGTTCTAGAAACACAAGATAGGATCAGCGAACCTAGTGGAATAATATAAATTCATTTATTTTTTAAATTCTCTTCTTATATAACCTAAAATATAACCTAAAAAGAACGATATTAATTATTTAAGATCAGAGTATATACTATATATCACATTGATGAATTTTAGTAAAGTAACGGTTATTAATATTGAAAAATCATGAAAATGTACTAATAGTTGAATAATGAATATAATTCTCCCACATTTATTCCCAACTACGCCTGTAGCTTTTCTGGGGTTGCTACCGGTCTCAAGCCCGGACAAAGGAGGAGGGTTTGACATGGGGTCAAAAATCCTGTCCCGTACAAAATAACCTTAACCAGAACAAACAAACTACTGGGAGAAATGAACGGATATCGTGAAAGATTTGCAAATTTATGTGCGTTCAACAAAATGGTTATGGGCGGCACAATATTCCCCCCACAGACTTATACACAAAGCTACATGAGTCGTACTGGATCACACTGCGAAAAACTAAATAGGTCATACTGGCATCACTAAAAAATTCAAAAAGTCAATGGGAGACGTGAAAATTAGGAGAGGAAGTGACATAGCTTCAGATCATCAACTGGTGGTAGCCAAGATGAAACTGTAGCTAAAGTAGCAATGGACAAGTGGAGAAACAGCATTACAAAGGTCTAAATCGGCTTTTCTTAGAGATACTGACAAGCTCAACGAATTCAAGATAACTCTCAACAACAGGTGCAAAGCCTTAAAAGATCTACTCAAAGAAGAAGAAACTACGACGAAGAACAACGGGAAAGGGATAAAAGAAGCACTAACTTCAATATGTCAGGAGTTGCTGGACCGCAAGAAGCATCATCATAAGGAATGGATCTCTATAGAAACACTGGAAAAGATTCAAGAAAATAAGAACAAAAATACGGCAATTAACAACAGCCGAACAAGATCGGAGAAAGTTAAGGCACAAGCTGAATACACAGAAGCAAACACGTAAGTGAAGAAGAGCATTAGAGCTGACAAGCGGAAATACGTGGGAGGGCTAGCAACGACAGTGGAAAGAGCTGCAAGAGGAAATATGAGACAACTATATGACGCAACGAAGAAACTAGCAGGGAGATATAGCAAACCAGAGAGACCGGTCAAGGACAAAGAAGGCAAGACAATCACCGAGATTCAAGAACCGAGGAAGAGATGGGTAGAATACTACGAAAAATTCTTGGATGGACTAGCCACACTAAACCCACCGGACATCGAAGCAGCACGCCCAGACCTTGCTATAGATGTCACTCCACCAACGGTCGGGTAAATCAGGTAAATCAAGAGTTGGAAAGCAACAGGACCTGACAGCATACCAGAAGAAGCACTGAAGTCAGACATACAGATAACTGCAAACATGCTACACATTCTATTCAGGAAAATTTTGGAGCAGAAAGAGGTGCCGACAGATTGGAAAGAAGGATAGCTCATCAAGATACCAAGGAAAGGAGGTCTGATTAAGTGTAAGAACTCGGCTACAGAGGCATCACACTAGTCAGTACCAGGAAAGGTTTTCAACAGTGTTGCTGAACCAGATGAAACATGCAGTAGACGCCCAACTTCGAGATCAACAAACCGGATTTCGTAAGGATCGGTTGTGGACAGACCGAATTCCAACACTAAGGATCGACACTGAACAATAAAATGAATGGATTTAGTCACTATACACCCCCCCTTGATTATAAGAAAATATTTGACAGTGTGGATAGGTGGACCTTTTGGAATTTCATTCTTCACTATGGTGTACTGTAGAACATCGTCAACCCCATACGAAATTCATACGACGGACTACACTACAAAGTCATGCATGGAGGACAGCTCACAGACGCATTTCAAGTGAGGACCCGAGTCAGACAAGGCTCCTCACTCTCCACCTTTGTGTTTCCGGGATGAGTATAAGTATTTGAATCATTGTACGGACTAGGAATCCCAGAAATGACGAACGAACGTAACGTATTTAGAATTTGAAATCAGGAGGAGAAATAATTAGTTTATACAAACATCACAGTTACTTCTGGCGGTTGACTGGATTATGAGAACCTCCACATCTAAGGGTAAGCACGGAATATTATCGACAGCTTACATGCGACTAGAAGATTCGGACTTCGCAGATGATCTGGTCCTTCTATCTCATACACACCAACAAATGCAAGTCAAGACAACCAATGCAACAACAGCCTCTGAACTGGCAGGCTTCAACATACACGAGAGAAAAACCAAAATCCTAAAATACAACACAATGAACATCAACCAATCCAATCACTTACTTACACCGGTTACTCCTCATGAAGGAACATAGGCCACTCACCAGAATTCTCCATTCAACCTTTCCCTGGACAATCGTTTTCAGCTCTTTCCAGTTGTTATTCATCCTTTTGATATCTGCTTCTATTTCCCGACGTAATGCGTTATTCGGCCTTCCTCTTTCCCCCTTCCCTTCAGGATCCCATGTTAGGGCTTGCCTCGTGATGCACTTTGGTGCTTTGCGTAATGTATGACCTATCCATTTCCATCGTCTTTTCCTAATTTCCTCTTCAGCTCGAAGCTGGTTTGTTCTCTCCCACAAAAGGCTGTTGCTGATGGTATCCGGCCAATGGATGTTGAGTATCTTGCGTAGACAACCATTTATAAATACTTATACCTTCTTGATGATGGTTGTAGTAGTTCTCGAAGTTTCAGCTCCGTACAGTAGAACCGCCTTGACGTTCGTATTGAAGATTCTCACTTTGATATTGGTTGAAAGTTGTTTTGAGTTACATATGTTCTTCAATTAAAGGAATGCGGCCCTTGCATTGCCAATCCTTGCCTTTACGTCTGCATCTGAACCTCCTTATTCATCGATGATGCTTCTCAGGTATGTGAAGGATTCTACATCTTCCAGAGTTTTGCCATCAGAAGTGATTAGATTGCTGTTCCCCGTGTTGTATTTGAGGACCTTGGTTTTCCCCTTGTGTATGTTGAGGCCTACTGACGCAGAGACTGCTGCTACACTGGCTGTCTTTATCTGCATTTGTTCGTGTGTATGCGATAAGAGGGCTAGGTCATCCGTGAAGTCCAAATCGTCTAATTGGTTCTGAGCTGTCCATTGTATGCCGTGTTTTCCCTCAGATGTCGAGATCTTCATAATCCAGTCGACCACCAGAAGAAAAAGGAAGGGAGCCTAGATAGCCTTGTCTGACTCCGGTCCTTACTTGGAATGCGTCTATCAGCTGTCCTCCATGCACTACTTTGCACTATAGTCCGTCGTATGAGTTCCGGATAATGTTGACAATCTTCTCAGGAACCCCATAGTGTGGAAGAAGTTTCCATAAAGTTCTCCTATCTACACTGTCAAGTGCTTTTTCATAATCAATGAAGTTGATGTACAGTGACGAGTCCCACTTAATTGATTGTTCGACGATGATCCGTAGTGTTGCAATTTGGTCTGTGCATGACCGATCCACTTAGTGGAAAAGTTCTAGAAGAGGTGAAAAATCCCACGTACCTGGACAGCATCATCGATGAACAAGGAGGATTGTACGCAGACGAAAAGGCAAAAGGAAAAGAGGAAAACCAAAGAACATACTGATTCGGGAATTGGGAGCATACATGAAAAGAATGAATAGCAACTGGAAAGAATTTTACAAAACGAGGTTCGATGGATAATGCTGGTGTGAGGTCCATACTTCTCCATGAAGGGTAAGTACATTTATTACTGTTAAGTTATTAATTCACATTGAGATGATGTAAAGTATGTACATTAGTTTTAAAGAATTAGTACCATTGTTCCTAGTTTGTTAGCAGTTGAACAGAAACCATAAAATTGATTATTTTGTGTTATACTGCTACATTCACTATTCTTGCTTTTCTCAAATGTGTCAAAATAGTGAAGAATGTAGGCAACTCTAAAAATCACTAGGAATAATTTGTGAAAACGCTACACTTACTAACAAACCATAATGGAACAGTAATATGAAACATTAGAAATACAAGTGAAAAACAGACGATAAAAACAGCAATAATTTCATAGAGTTAGAATGATATGGTTAACAAATTCATTAAGTTTAACTAAAGATCAATAAATTACTCCAATTTTATACGATGGTTAGAAATCTAATGATATGAAACTAAGAAGCGGGTAATTTACAACTTCATTGACGGTGATAAACATTGAGCTGTACTTTTATGTTTTTAAAAGCATCCAAAGTTGTTATCATCAATCAATTACGTGAACCTTCAAGAGTGACAAAGCTTGAATCACTTGACGAAAGGGGCATAGCTGCAAATGAGATCGATGAAAAATGGATCAAACACACCGGGTATTTACCGTGTCTACGTTACAGTTTCTTAAACAGTGAAGTATGAATTCTCTTACCGGTCTATGAATGTTCAAGAATGTTTTACGTATATGCGATTAATACAAAAAATAGCATGAGTACTAACTTAAATGGCGCATCAAACTAGTAACAATTTCACCTCTGTTTGATTCATTAAACTTTGTAAAACTAGTCTCCCGGAGCTGTTTTCAACAAATTATCCAGTGACAAAACAAAGAATTACAAACTGATAATATCTCAAAGGAAACTCGTAACTTTAATCTACGTACTGAGCTATGGAAATAAATCTACTTAAAATTAAACTTACTGGTAGACAGTTGGTAATCGCTTGACAAAAAATATGAAACTAAGGACAGGACTTTCTGTCACATCAACATCTGCGACAAAAGCATTGATTGAACTATCATCAGAGAGTTGTTGCCAAATTGGTGAAAACTGTCGACAAGCTGGACACCAAGGAGCATGGCTATTTCAAAAACAAAACAAAACCAGAAAATTCTCTAGATATTACTAGTTAATACAATACAGTTGTCTATGTGAAAATGAACGATACATTTGGAAACTTATGACAATACTAAAAAACAGTTCAGGTATACATAGCTTCCCCAGTCAACTTGGTTTCATTAATCTTGTGTGCAGAGCTTCCAAGAAAAAGATGCACTAATCTGTTTAAGAATGTCTAACATATTTTCCATAAAGGGCGAGTGCACAAATATGTATTTGTTTAGTTTGTTATATCAACACTTTGTTATTGGAATTTGTGATAAAAATTAATATGTACCACGCGTAAACTTTGGTACAGCAGAGAACCAAAACACGTGCGCTGCACAAATGGAGACATTGTGAAAAAGTAAGAGATGAACGGAGAGTACAATCAAAAGGATACTAGTTTATCATATGAAGTAGTCCAGTCAACAATACACGGAGAGACTTTAGCTAAGAAGATTTCGATCAATTTTGTACAGGATGCCACAGAAGGCTACGGCAAGACCACCGCTAAACCTTAATCCGAGCTACTGAAAACTTTAAGTACAGGCAAGAGTGAAACGAGTCCATTCCCCCCTCAATGTTTTCATACGACCATGTGTTGGTAGTCTTTTCCGTGAAATTCCTGTCCAGTGTTTTCACGTGGTGGTTTCTACGAAACTTAGAGGACAAGAAGCGAAATACCGCCACTTAAACAAGGTTGATAAAGACGGGTCTACCTAGGTGAGTTGGTAAACTGTAATGCCAAACCAATAGTGTACATAGGCTTTCGAACCCTGAATGGTGGATGAGAAAAAGAACTAATTTTGCCCCCAACTAATATGAGAGTGCGTCTTCCGAAATTGCTTCATACCCTTTAGAATTCAAACTCATGGTCTAAGACTCGGGAATTAGTCTCCCGAGGTAACTAACTGCCTCCCTACGGCACCCTGGTAGTATTTCAGAACATACTCATCAGCGAATTAATATGTATTATTCTATTAGCACCGCTTAGCTACCAACTCAAACGATACTTACAATGACTGATACAAATGAATTCGTCTTGCTTTGTGATAACTTCCTATTTCGCTTTATTTTCATTATATGTATACGTTTATTCTCTAGTGCACTCATTACCTCATCTCTGCTGAAAGTTCTGTCCTGTCATAAATAATCTCAAGTTGCTAAATTGCCAAACTTATAAATGCTTCTACGTAATACGAAACCTAATACAGCTTTCCTAAAGCTACAGGAAACACCTAAATTGGCTACTTCTGGCGCTGGCAATATTGATGCAGATCATACAACAGAGAGGTATGACTATAACTTTGGAAAATCTTAATATCAAGGTATGCTGTATTTCTGATGCCCGTATTGAAAGCCAGTGAAGTACTACAAATTTTTCCATTTATGCTCAGGTTTTTTCTTTAGATTAGAAAGGAATAAATATTATACCGATCCCTCTCATATATGTATAACTCCACAAACTTTTGCCTTTGATTCGTCATATTTATCTCCACAGTTCCTCTTAAATAAAATGGATTTTCGTTCATACACTGAGTTTTGATTCACTTTGCTGCTTTACAAACATATCTGACATGAAATTTTACTTCAAATCAAACGAGAAATTTCTCGGTGTTTTTGGAACTCCATATCCACATAAAAGTTAGTTTTAATTGGTTGTTTGGTACAAACATATGGTGACGGATGAAGAGATGTGTAATTGCAACGGCCCACGAGTAGAGTGGAACCAGCCGCAACAAAAATTGTATGGTGAGACAGCTAATATATATTCAGAATATGTAATGACATTCTTTTTTACATAAAGATACGTCTAGTGAAGCACAGAGCTATCGCTTTTGTCTGTATGACTGACCATTCTTCAGTAGAAAATTCTAATCCATCAAGTACTATTTCAATAACTAAGGTCCCGACCGTTGTTGCTACCTTGACGTGGTGGTCGGGCTTGCCTATCGTGATGAAGCAACCGAGCTATACTGGCTGGAACAACCGTTCCTCAAGGTCCTACCATGTCAGACAGGTCAGTTGAAGAGCGGTAAAACTAAAAGCAACAAACCCAAGGTCCGAAGGCGAAGTCGTACTGCTGACTGTACAGAGGTGTGACAGCAGTAAGGTGTTTCCTTCAGACAACCAGCATGACAGCAATGCTGCCTTCCCACAAGGAGGGGTGGGGTTAGAAAAGGTCGACCCTAAAAATGCACACCTCGCCTTATCCCACGGATATCCGTCTCCGGCGGTAAGGTCTCAACAAGTACGGAGCTAACACATAAATCACCCATAAAAAGGTCGTGTGTGACCGACCTCAAACAGTTGTCCCTTGGGCACTGTGGTCACGCTCTCAGGTCACTAAGACCACCCTTAATCCAATTTCCTTTTCAGGTACCTCCAGAACAACCCTTCCACGGTATGGGCAACCGGGAAGTGATAACCGCCCTCATACCTCTAACATCACTCAAGACCACTATATTCATAATCAACCTCCTTCTTCAATTCCTATTATTCCTCCTACACCGACTTTCAACGCTAAACTTCCTCTTTCGGCTTCCCCCTTAAGTGTCACCATAGCCAACGATTCTAGTGCTCAAAACTCTATCCCAGGTTTACTGAAACCTTGCTCCAAACTACACATTGAAGCTTTCAACGTACGCACTCTATGTCAAATCGGTCAGCAGGCTTCCTTGGCTAATACCATAGAGTCTCTATCCATTGATGTATGCTGTGTCTCCGAAACACGCATACAGGATTCCAGTGTGGTCATTCACTTGACCTCACCTCGGCAAAACGGAGAGCCAACGAGATACACCCTCCGTGTATCTGGTGACCCGACGGCCAGTTCTCGTGGACTGGCAGGTGTAGACGTAGCACTAAGCATGAGGGCGGAACAAGCACTGCTAGAGTGGATCCCCGTCAACAGTCGCCTATGTGCTGTTCGGCTAAACGGCTCCGTAAAAACTCGGAAGGATAGGGACACACGTCGTTGCCTTTTCGTCGTTTCTGCCTACGCTCCCACTGACTGCAGCTCAGATGATGTGAAAGATGAATTTTACAGAAAACTATCTGAACTTCTTGAAAAAGCTAAACGTTCAGACACAGTACTCGTAGCAGATGACTTTAATGCCCAGATAGATAGTTTAAACCAAACAGAAAGACATTTAGGTGGGTATTTTAATATTCCGGCACAACGAACAGATAATGGTGATCGTCTGCTGCAACTGTGCTCAGACAATCGTTTATTTTTAGCAAACACAAACTTTAAGCATAAGGAGAGACATCGTCTAACATGGCGACCCCCTACATCAAACCAACGATGGACTCAAATGGACCATATTGCCATCAGTCATCGTTGGAGAGGATCGATAGAAGATTGTCGCTCATTCTGGAGTATCTGTTTGGACTCCGACCATGCCCTAATACGGGCACGCATCTGCTTGCGCCTCACAGGACGCAAAAAAGCCACATTAAAAAGACCCATTAGAACTGAGTTGAGTAACGAGAAAACCAAAAGTAGGTTCCAGGAACAACTGAGGTCACACTTAGGTAGTTCTGAAAACGAGGCTGACCCAGATGTTGCTTGGAAAGATATACAAACAGCTGTAGAAACAGCAATGAAATCTGTTAGTGACTTAAACCACAGAGTTACAAAGAACCAGTGAATTTCTTCAAGGTCTACCACACTGATGGATTCTCGCAAACTCGTCCCATCATGCTCTGAACACGATGAAGAGCGTAAACAAATCAGATCTAGGTTAAGAAAAAGTCTAAGGAACGACCGTGAGCAGTGGTGGTTAACGAAAGCAAAAGAGATGGAAAAGGCGGCGATTATAGGGAACACAAGACAGCTTTACAGACTAATAAAAGAAACTGGAATTAATAAGTCAAGTGTAAGTGAGATTGTTTCGGAAAAAGACGATACTCTCACCTGCTCCCAGTCCAGACGTTTAGAACGATGGGCGAAACACTTTAGGAAACAGTTCAACTGGCCTTCAGCGACTCTACAACCACCCTCCATCCCCAGACAATGTGAATGGAACATTGAAGTAGGTCTCCCAACTCTTGCTGAAGTTGAGAAGGCTATAGTTAATCTGAAATGAGGAAAGGCAGCTGGTCCAGATGGATTGGCTCCAGAAGCCTTTAAGGATGGTGGTCCAATTTTAGCGATTAGGTTGACTAATATTTCAGCTAAGATCTGGGAGTCAGACGTTATCCCATCTGACTGATCACAATCACTTATCGTCCCAATATATAAGAAAGGGTCAAAATCATCCTGTGACAACCACAAAGGGATTAGTTTAACAAATATAGTATCTAAAATACTAGCCTCGATAATTATCAGACGCCTAACTGAGACTCGTGAACTGCAAACACGAGAGAACCAAGCTGGCTTCAGACTTGGTCGTGGCTACATCGACCACATATTCACCATTCTTCAGGTTTTAGAACACAGGCATGACTTTCGTAACCAATGGTTGGAGACTCTTGGTGACATGGCTCAGAATCGATCACAATGGCGTCGGTGTATACACTCTGTCTTCTCTTAAACTAAGAGATTAAAATTGATTCATATCTTTCTTTTTACGAACTAATTCTTTCTTCCTGTACTATATCCTTATTGTAATCTTTCTTTTATATATTACCACCTCTGAATTAACTACTTATATGAATCCGGTGTCCATCTTGTTGTGTTAATGAGGTATGGCAACTTGGACCGATGCATATATGTGCCTGGTCCTACGTTGTAGCTGACTGGCTGACTGACAATAACTAAGGTTCGAAGGAAAAAGTTCGTAATAAACGAAGATTTTCTCCTTAGTACTTCAGCTGACAGGAAAGGTTAAGCTATTGATAACTAACTGTCTTCTGTTATAGATAATATGCACTTTGAATTCAGTCAACCATATTACAGCCAAATTATAGGAACTTATTGGTCAAGCTTATATTTTAGCTCTGAAAAAATGTGATGACAAGCGAATTATTGTCGTAAGTTGATATTACATGTCTTATTTTAGAACCATATTAAAAAGTCCCAGTTTATAATACCAGTAATTTATAATCAACAAATATGCATCAGCCCAGATTGAATACGAACAGTGAAGCAAATGACAAGGAGTGAATTGCAATACTATTGTTTTTGAAGACTAAGGTGTAGTAATGAACGAGCTTATACTTCTGAAAAACATTTATATAATAGACTTACTAAAACACTTCGTTAATGCGGTTGGTGTTTTCACTAAACATCAACCTAAAAATGAACGCTACCCAGTAGTCAGTAAAACTATCAACTAATTGCTAATCTGTTTTTTTAACCAGTCGATTATAAGCAACACAAAACCTGCTGTATGAACCCGAACCGTTTTAACATTCAGAGAACAAGGGAATAAACTATCGGTCGGGGATAATCCGAGTGAACTAATACATTACTAGCCTTATTTTATCTTATTCCTTAAAATATATCTGGAAATAACCCAGGATATGGAGTCTATTAAAATAGGTCAATATAAAGTGTTTAACTTCGACCTCACAGAGCAACTATTATAGTCTAAAAACAATAAAATAAAAAACTGGCAAATCATGTTGCGGATCCATATTTATTATTGATTGGTATTCAGAGAGCCAATATGATATTACCGTTATGTGGCACGAAACTTGATTATTATTTAACAGAGACACAATTCCACAACTTGGAGAATTTCTGAGTAAAGAAATGAAGAATGTGTGATTCTGTATCTTAGATTACCCTCTAATATGATTATGCTACCTCATATGGCGAAATTTTAGAAACACATGGAACTACAACAATGATGGTCAGAACAAACCGGTAGATTGACTAGACTCAGATTTGTGTAGTAAGGACAGAAGGCCTACGGCCTATGTTATTCCTTTTCTAGTATGCTTCTGTGAGTGCCCAGTCTTCTCTTGAAAGAGTCAACTGAAGGTGCGGACTAGCTAGTGCTTCTTCGTAGTAGAAAAAGAGTAGCATGAAGTCAAACAACAAAACGTTGGATTAAATTCTGAATACCTACGAGCCTTCTCATTATTTCATGAATTTTGGAATTAAGTCGATTTGTAAAATTCAATAAATCTACTGTTATTCTTTTTAGAGAAATCATTTGATTTTACACAGAGAATTGTGGCAACTACCGTACAAGTGGATTTAAAAGATACAAGTGTAACATTTGCAACCACTACCTTACATTTTATTTTAAGGAAACAATTAAAATGCCTAATGGAAAACTGTTATATATCGAGATATCGAATCTTTAAAACTTCCTTACAATTTTACAAGCCATTCACCATCTAACATTTGTTTCCAATTTGTTGAATTTAATTGAATAACATATGGTGAACAGAACTTTAAGAAAACCAAAAAACCCAAAACGTGTTTAAGGATTTTCATTCTAGCGCATTACAGCCAACTGGCCTAGATTTGTACGAGGTTCAACATAAAATGAAGAAAACAGCTTTAACAAAGTATCTGACTAAATAAAGCTATCATCTGCCACCATTAAAAATTACTTTTACTACTGGAATATCGAATTTTGAGTTATTCACGGACCTAGAAACTTGATTACGGTTATTACATTTCCCTACAAATTATCAATACAATCATTTGGATTATATTCTCTTGGATTGTTGTGGCCAACAAATTAAGTATCCCTGTTCTTAATCAACACAAGGTGTTGGGGAGGTTGACCAGGGATCCTAGACTTCGTGTAACTACCGGATTTATTCCTCCAGTTTCACTTTAATGAGTGCAATCGATCCACATTACCTCCATTTGTATATAGTGGTAGATAAATCCCTCAAATTGCTAGCTCGATAAGTTTTCAACGTTGATGCTAACCTTATTGGTTTCAATGGACACAGCTCCAGTTGAAGAAGTCTGGTCAAATATCCGGGTCAGATCACGGCTGGGTACACTGGTTGCACATCTATAACAAGTAATCTGCTAAGATTACACACACTCATATATTAACATTTGCTCAAATATGCCTTCCCATCCATTTATTACCGACCTCTGATTTCGTCGGCTCTAGAATCTATAGAGGAAGAGAGAAATTTAAGACAAGATATTTGTCAGACCCTGCATATTTCTGATCAATATGCCTCGACTTTATCTGGTACACTAAACGGTTATCTGTGTCTGTTTCTTGCTGTGTTGTTCCAAAAATATTATTGTGCATTGTGATATATTCTACGTCCCCTAAACATTTTCACAGTTATATTACTATTATTATGTCTGAAAATACGCGATGTCACTTTGGAGAATATTTTGAAGATTACTCAGTATATCTGAAGGAATGAACTGATATTCACTTTTATAGACTATATTTATTTAACATGTATACTGTGAAACAATAAACGTTGTAATTTATAGATAATGCCTGTAAAAATGGCATGCACCTGCCATTGCAGAAATATGTATTGTCATTATAAAATCATTGGGATTAGGCGTTCTTCGTCCCCCCATGTTATAATGGAAGCCTTACTCTGATGTGAAGAAGTTGACTTCTACGAGTATGGCGTAAGTGACACCGGCGCAGTTATTCTCAGTAGTCAAAAGACCACCATGTCAGTTAAACAGTCACCTTACACCTTATATAATTATTAGAGATGCTTCGGAAATTTAGGGAACTCTGAAAAAGGCTGTCTTTAAACGTGAAGTTCTAACCATTTAGCAAGGTGCAGACTAACTCGTGGAACGAAAATAAGTCAGATTCACTGGAAAAATGTGGATAGTGTTGTTTTAAATGTAAAATGCTTTTAATCGTCCAGAATAGGTTCACGTTTATTGATTTATAAACGTCAGTAGTTAAAAATGTGTTGAATAACGCCAATGAATCTATGTCACCTGATTACATTACAATTCATATTATTCAGTTTAGTGCATAATCTTTATAAGCATGTAAAAATGACAGTGAGAACTACTAACAAGTTGTAGTGACTCACGTTTATCACGAGAACACGACTGGTTTAATAAAAACAATTATTATTATAACCAACTGTACCAGTGTTTGTTTTAACATGCTTTTGTTTGACTGTGCTAATGACAGCTATTTTGTGCTTCCATTCTTTCGCTTACACTTTGATTGTAACTTCGCGCGAATTCGGTTACCTTCTGTAACCAAGGTTGTATCCTGGCACGATCTCGGTATCCTTTCGATGCCACGAGATCGCCAGCTAATAAACCTCGACTTGGTCCATTAACTGTCTTCTGGTATTCGGCTTCTCGGGGATTTTATGGAGTCATTTGGAACGAGCTTCTTACGCCTTCTGATTCGCTTGGCACGTGTTTTTTGGTAGCGGCGTTCATAGTTAATTTCAACTCGACGCCACGCTACAATTGGTAATCCAAATCAGGCTACAAAGTATCGAACAATTAATTGATCTAAAATGCTTCGTCTACAAACCACCTTTCCATAGTATTTTATTGCCATATGAAACCACTGAATGGATCTTATAGAGAAAATAAGTTTGTAGGTGATGTTTCAATGATGAACCAAATATACGTTACTAGGGTTAATGACTATAACATGCCGCACGTTTTAAAGTACTTTCAGCATAAAAGATCCTTTACTGAACTAAAGAAAAGCTCCAGGACTTTCTTCGGTATTCGTCGTTATTGCGAGTGTAACAGAAAGAGAACGATGAAAATCCCTCGGCAGCTTTTTTGTTGAGCAGTACTGTCATTTATTTGTTTCTTCTCCCTGTCGTGTATTTTAACCTTTGTTCAGATCTCACCTATCCACACCTTTTCTTATTTAGTCTTCCTCGTCTGTGCGTTTATTATGTGATTTTGTTTAAACACTTATGTTTTGTTATCTAATTTTCTGTCGCATGTTGCCGGACTATTGCCGGTAAGGTAGTATTTGACTAAGCTCAAGGTCGCGGCGTGGTTCAGTGTGTTGCTGTTAACCATTTGACTGTTTGCTTGGGAGAATTGCCGGAATCCCTGAAAAAAGATATTTGATCCTATCTTGTTGCGAATATTTTTATTGATTCTCAGGTATCAAACCCTTTGGTATTATATGTTTCTTTTATTGTTTAGCGTGCTACTTTGCGTTGGAGATACCTTTGATTGTATATCACAGGCTGTACCGTTTGAGTTATTTTGTATTTTTGCTATAATTTTTTATATTTCCTAAATTAGAATCGTTTAAATTGAGCACAGAGTTTTTGTTTTGATATAATTTAATACGAGTATCTCAAAAACGCTTATTACGCTAAACAGAAGAACGTGGTCTGGTCTAATCGAATAAATTTTGGTTCATCAGTCCTGCGTTCATATCGAGTACTCACAGCTCGGTCGTTACAGCGAGAGTTCATTGTTTGGGCAATTATCCACAAGGATTTTGTTCATCACTTCAATCCGACTTTCCACTGTCTTCCGTTATCGGCAGAAAAACCTAGAAAAAATTACTAGTTTCACAGGTGTAGACTTCTAACAACACTCACCTCAGTTGAAGATTCATCACTTCGTTGTGACATATCCCTGCTGATATGGCATTTCCCATTTTATTTCTCGGTGGATTGTTCATGGCCTTATCACATATGTACTTGGCATAAAAAGTGAATATATGTAGTGGCATTAGACCATAACCACACAATCTTCAAAGCTGAACACAAGACTACTCAGAAAATAGATATTCAATATTCAACACGGAGAAACACCTAACAATGGAGAAGGCGCGTAGAATGAATTGAATGGATTGGAGTTGATCGAGTGGCATGGCTCGACCATGCAGGCGTGGTCTCTGCTGAATACTACCTTATATCTTTTATTCATATTATATATATTGTTCTTTCTCTAGCCTAACCTTGTTCTATATCATGTATGGATAATTGATACGATACAGTGAGTTGGTGTAGTCGATGGTGTGACTTCCACGTAAGATCTTATAGATTAGGCAGTTATATCATGACAAATCTACAAATTTAGGGTTAGGTCTATTATTAGAGCAGTACTAATATCATAGTAGACCATAATTCTACATTGGTGAGCCCAACTAAAGAAACGCAACCCATTATTATTAATCCTTATATCCACTTAAACTTTCTCGATCGATTTTATATTTATGTTAACCCTGTATTCTAATAGTCCTCTGATTAATGCTCACATGCATTATCGTAATGTTATATTGATTAGTCTTCATGACAAACTAGCTCAATCGATAATAAAATCTGGTCGTCTATATTAACTAATTAGCCTTGATGGTTTGTTAACAAGCTGTAATAGCATTTATATGCTTCAGCGACATAGTCTTGTTTAAACATCAAGCTCTAGCAAATATGACCTGTAAATAGCGTAAATATACATTGACTAACAATGCGATCAAGGACTAAATAGTTATCTGGATCTAATTCTCAGTGTTCCTTCACTTAACACCTCATCCTGTTTTGAACTACGCACTATCCTGTAATATCTTTTCTCCCGACCACTGCCTGCCTAATTTCATATTCTCGAGTTCCATTGCCAAACAACAAGGATGACACTTCTCCAAAAATACGGTGAGTTCCAGCTATAAGTTTTCTGCAATCATAAGTTTATTTTAGATGGCACACAATTATCTGGATTCATTCAGTTGTTCTGATCAGAGCGAGTCCCAAAAACCTCAACAGCATCAAGCACCCTGGAAGTGATTGCCATACTGCATGTTTTATTCTGGATGCTTTTGGATCATTACTACTCACGAATGGCGTTATATATGTCGTCCACTGAATAATCTAATTTTCAAAAATAATCCAGGCGAGTTCAACTATTTTACTGGATGATTTTTTTTGTACTTAACATGTATATGTTTTTCAGTTGCTTTTGCCATATATTTGTAAGTGTCCCTAGGCTAAATCCAGTAACTTCTTATGGAATGTTTATAACGCGTCATATTCCTGCCTAAAGTTTCATAAGCAGTCTGGTCGTGTTCATTATTTTTAAATTGTCATATACGTCAACAACCTGCTTGTTAACCTGGCCCGTACATGCGTTGCACTATATCTTCACGTCTTCTAAATTAAGGAATCATCTGAATCGCCTTTAACATTTATAAATAAACCTATCATAGCTGTTCTTGCTAATCGTATTTGGGTTTATTGATTGGTTTATCATATTAGCAGCCTAAAATGCGAACATAGTTTAGATAATAAGATTGAAAATTTAGGTACTATCAACTGCACTAGTAAAATAACTAGATCCTCAGGTAGCTGTTGGATAAACAAACGTTCCAAATCAAAACTCCATAGCCTACTAGAATTAACACTAAACGAGTATTTCTGAATTGAAATTTTTAATTAAATTGGGCGTCTCTGATTCTTTAACGTTATAAATTTCTGATAATTTCGAAGCACCTAAAGCAACAATATCTATTTTTCCACTGACTAATCCTCAATCAACACTATAAC